AAACCTACCCGTCTTTTAGCTCAAATGGATCTATTTCTTGATGTGTATTCGAGCCTGGAGAGAACGTAGGGTTGTTCCCCGACGGTGAGGGAGGGGGAGGGCCACGGGGAAATTTTTTTTCTTTCGCCACGGGAGGGGGGGGGTGGACGGGAATTTTAAAAAATTGTCTCAAATCCCCCGAATTTCGAGGATGGGGAACAACCTTAATAGAAGGTGCGGTCAGAGGTTGAGGTCATTAGCGAGATTCCGTAAACAGACCTGATCGGAGAGGTCATTATCGTGAAAAAAATTTTTTTGCCATCGAATTTTATTTTAATTTTTTAATTTTTAAAAAATCACTTGAGTGACAAACTACTTTTTTCTATATTTTTCAACTATTCCCTCATTTTCTTAAAATCCATTTTTTGATTCTCTCGATGAGTTTTCCTCTCTTTTAATAGAAATTTTCTAAAGCTATCTTCAATCTTTAATTCTTTATTTTTTTATAAATTCAAGGTTAATTCTTTCATTAATTTTTACTTATTTATAAAATTAATTTAAACAAAACACATCCAGTTTTAGAAAAATTTTTTTAATTTTTTATTACTGTTTATATATTTTTTATTTTTTAATAAACAATTATTTTTAAATTTCCAAAAACAATTTTTATTGTTTTGTTTTTTATTAATTTGATCTTTTTTTTTTGTTTTCATTTTTCAACTTAAAATAAAAATTTTTTTTGATTCTCTTGATGAGTTCATCTCTTTTAATAGAAATTTTTTAAGAAATTTAATAGAAAAAATAGAGTTGTAAATCTATAAAATCTAAAACTTTCTATAGGAGGAATTAAACCCAGATAGGAAGATTAAGAAACCCTATACTAGGAAAAACTTCAACCTAATCCTTGATTGTTGATCTACTAGTCTTAGGGATGTCTCGAGTTATTCGAAACTCAGATTTCTTTCCTACTCGAAACCGATCCAAGAAAATTTCCAAACTGGCCCTAAACCCGACCCGAACTTTTTTCTCAACCGATGACATCCCTGCTCCTTACTAAACCTTCTGGTTATTCTTTAATTGTTGATCTAATCTTTTCAAGGGATGTCACGTGTTACTCGAAACTCGGATTCTTTCCTTACTCGAACCTCAATCCGAGGAACTTTCCAAAACTGACCCTAAACCCGACCCGACTTTTTTCTCAACTCGTGCATCTCTGTTCCCTTCCTTACTAAGCCTTCTAATTAGACGTTAAGTTTTAACTTGAGACTTGATTGAGACTGGGTTTGAGAATTAATCTAACTATAAAATCAGAACACTCGAAGAATCTCACTTCTCGGGGTAACCTCAATTTTTTGATCTAGATCTTATCTTCAATCTGTTCTCTGATTTTTTACACACCCCTATCAATTTTTATCTTTTCCTCTTTTTTTATTCCACTTTTTCAGCTTCTCCAAAAAAAGCCCCTTCTTGTTCTTCAAAAAAAAGTATTTGACAAAAATGTTGTCCTCTAACATATAATAATAATATTTTTTCATATAGGTTGATTCATTTTTTGTCAGGCCAAAAAAATATAAGGGTAAGAAAAAAAGCGGTAAACGAATATGAAAAAAATTCCTTTCCTTCCCTCATGCATTCCTTTAAAACATTTTTTTATTCATAACACTTTAATTTGTAAAAAAAATTTTTGAAAGTCATTTTTATCAATTCCAAGCATTAAAATAATTGTTCATGCAATAAATACTCATTAAGCCTTATTTAGAGGAATGTATAGGAGAAATGACAAAAAATTTTTCAAATCCTTCCTTGATCCTTCTTCGATCCTCGAATTCTCCTCGAATCCTAACTAACAATCGAGGGAACTCGGGGAAACGGGATTCTTCCTTGATCCTTCCTTGATCCGTCCTCGAAACCTCCTCACTAACAATGAAGGGAACTCGGAAAAGGGACTTCTCTTTAGGGCAATGCCAAGAGCTGGGAGTTGAGGATTTTTCAAAAGGGGGTTGACTAGAGTCCTCGACAGAGTCGATCTGTATTCCGATTTCCGACAGTTCCGATTTCCGACAGTTCCGATTTCCGATACCTTCGTCATTTCCAATCGACCTCTGGTTCTCGGTTCGGAGCCGAAAGCCCAAGTATTTTTCTATTCTTCGGTTCGGTCCCGGATATCCGAAGATTTTATTTAAATAGGTTTCCCGATTTCTCTTTTAAAAATAAAACAATAAAATATAAAAATTGATTAGGCTGATTAAAACGTGATTTTTATGAGTCAATAGAATACATTACATATGTTTTTCTTTTTATTGTTACAAGCCAATCAAGCATCTTCTTCCCTAAAAATATTTTTTTTTCTTTTTTTCCTTTTTTAAGCTTTTTAAACTTTCATTTTTTAGAATTTTCAACATTATTATCATTCTTTTCTTCCCCAACCTTTTAAGCTTTATTTTCAATTATCAGATCAAAAAATTTAAAAAAAATGCCAAATTGTGTCGCTGATTCTAATCCTAATACCAATTTTCTTTCACCAAAATCCATTCGTGATCGACGTAGTAAAAGCAGCGAATTTTACATTATACCAAATCAGAATGCTTCAACTACAATTCAATCAAAGATTTTGTTATCTACAGAAGGACAACCTCTATTAGATAGAGTCAATCATTTTGTAGAAAATTTTGGGGTGCCAAAGAAAAGCTCAAAGCATGGAAGTTTTTACAAAGCTTCTGCTGGTTCATCTGCCGGCTCATCTTCCGTTTCTTCTTCCATCAATTCATCTTCCGGTTCGTCTATGGGATCAACAGATTCTTCAACTTCCGTCCCTTCTTCATCCTCTTCTGTTGTTTATCATCATTACCCTCCACATTATGTTTATGATGCCCGCCGTCCAAGTCTTCCATCAAACGCTTTAAATGAAGGAGGAATGCTTCTTCATTCTTCTTCATCTTCCTCTTCTACCGATTCCACTTCGTCTACAGCAGTAACAACTTCCGAACCTGGCACTTATTCTTCCTTACTTCGCACACTTCGAACACAAGCAGCTTCGGGTACTCTCGTATCCGTACCTGAGCGTTCTCCTTCTCCACGTGCCCGATTTGTCCGTAACATTCGAAATACGCATAATAATAGGCGTCGACAACAACATCAACACCAGCTAGCACACTTTCAGCACTTACAGCGTCAACAAACACCTCCGCCCCAAATTAATATAATATGTGGAGATATAGACGAAGAAGAAGGGATTGTTGAAAAGGAGGAGGGAGACGATAAGGAGGAAGTTAGTGTTAGTTCTTCTTCTGTTGGGTCTTCAACAATTGGTTCCTCCTCAGTTGGTTCCTCAACAGTTAGTCCTTCTCCTATCAGTCCTTCTCCTGTTAGTCCTTCAACAGTCTTGGGAAGCATTCAAAGAAGAAGGAAAAAGGAGTCAGTTGAAGAAGAGAATAAGGAAGATTCTAAGGAAGAATTTAAGGGAGACTTATTGGCAAACAGATCTTCTGTTGTTGGTTCTTCTACAGTCTATGGAAGTATTCAGAGGAGGAAAAAGGAAGGACAAAGCAATGATTTGAAAAAAATAAATGAGGGAGAAATTAATGAAAGTAACAAGGACTTTTTAAAAAATCTTCCAAAATCTTCTCAAAAAAATTTTCTTCCTCAAAAATCTTCATCCCCTACCCTAACTCGTGGGAAAGCTCAAAAAATGTCTCTATTCTCCAAACTTGAATCAACAACAACTAGTAAAAATTGTAATAATATTAACAACTCTCTTTCAATAAACTCCGCTTCAATTTCCGATTTTCGTGCAGCATTAATAGCTTCAAGTAAACAACAAATTAATGAAGAGGAAGAAGTTAATGTTGATAAAAATGTTAACAACAATAAAGAAAAAAATAATTTATTTTTTCCTCGAAATTGTGTTAGTAGCAATTTGAGAGAGAATAATAATAAAAATAAAAATTATTTTATTGACAATCAACATGTTGATGATTATCATAACGATTTGATAACCTTCAATAAAAATTTTATAAAATCTTCAACATCTCCCCCATTGTCCCCAACATCAATTTCTTCATTGCCGTTGTCTGCTTTTCCTCCTCCACAACGTTTGGGAACCTCAACCGCAACAGCAACAACAACTTCCTCCTCTATTCACCAACAAAAACCACAACCCTTTGAATCAACTACACCCCCCAAAAATAATCGTAGACGTTCTGGATTTGAAGGAATGTTAACTGGTGGGGGAGGTACTGAATGGCGTGTTTTTCGTCAAATGGCACGAATTTTGCGACGGGATAACAATAATAATTCGCATCGAAGGGGTGATAGTTCAACTGTTTTTACTGCTCAACAAAGCCCACCAGTTTCCCCATTTTTTGGCAATTGTGGAAATCGAAGGCGTTATTCTTTAGCGCCTTCAATGGAATCGGCAGCGGGAGGGCAATATGGTTTCTAATTTTTTTAAAAAATTTTTAGACGCTTATTACTTATTCTATAGCTTTTAATGAGCTTGTTACTCTTAATGAGCTTATCTTATACCAGAAATTTATTAAAAAGTTTTTTTTTTCCATTTTTTAACGTAAGTAATCTCAATTTTGAGATACAGTAAAAATTCTTATCATTATTAATTAAAAAAATTTTTAGACGCTTATTAGTAAAATTCTTGGAAACCTAAGTAAGCTCCCGCCCTAGAAGCTAGCGATAAAATCCAAAAAGGGTGAAGTAGGATTGCTTGATCAGTCAGATTGCTTGATCACAGTCGAACCTCGCTTGCACGAATCACCTCTATATTACTGAAAAAATCGGACGATCAAGTAAGCGTGTCTTACAACCGAGGTTCGATTGTATAATAAGGTTGAAAAAGGGATATGTTAGAGCATTTTAGGATTAATATTAAAATATAAATAAATTTAAAAAAGAAAAAAAATTCAAAAATATTTTTAAAAAAAATCAAAAAAAAAATCTAAAAATTTTAAAAATTTCCAAAAAATTTTAAAAATTTTCACGAAAAAATTTTTTTAACATAAATTTTTAAGGCGATTTTATGAACAATTTCGCCGACCAACAGCAACTTCTACAACAACAAAATTTATCTCAACACCAATCTTCTCTACTAAATCAAAGTCCAAGTTCAACAACTGCAAATGTTGGTAGTTCCTCACCATTTTGTAGCCCAACATCAACAACTACAGATGGAATTTTTCATCATAATAATGGGCCATCTACAGCCTCTTCGAATTTCTTCCCCCGTGCCCAACTACAGCATTCGCGGTGGGCAGATTTGGAATTGTGGGCAGAACAAGAAACTAGTTGGACTGCAAAATATTGTGTTGGGAGTGATAATGAATGTAGGGAATTGAAAAAATCTTAAAATTTTTAAAAATAGTTGAACAATTTTTATGGGAACTCAGCATACTTTTAGACTCTCAAGTAAAATTCTTGAAGACCTAAGTAAGCTCCCGTCCTTAAAACTGACTTTAAAATATAAAGGGAAGTAGGATTGTTTGATCAGCTAGCCAACTATTTGGAGAGTCATTTGACGTTTAGTTTAGATTGTGGGTTGGAGGATTAGTCGGAGAGTCAGTCATGAATCACTTTCTCCAGTATCTTAAATAAGTAGGGCTCCTATAAGTTCCGAAATTCAGCTTGCTCCAAAAGGAAGTAGGATAGTTCGATCACTTATCTGATCAGTTAACCAGCGATTTGGAGAGGTAGTCAGCTGATAAGTTGGAGGATTATTCGGAGAGTTAGTCATGAACCACCTTCTACAACTTGTCTCTTAAATAGGCAGGGCTTCTATATGTTCCGAAAAAATCAGCTGACTCCGAAGGGAGGGAGGATTGTCTGATGTATCCGCCTTTAAGTACCTTCTACTTGAACTTATTCTAGCTAAATTTTCTTAAGTCAATATTCCTTTATTCTAACAAAATTTTTCAATTTTCAGTCTCTTCATTAAGTGCAAAAGAGATGAAACGTCAAAATATTATTTATGAACTTGTACTTACTGAACGTCATCATTGCCAAGTTTTAGTATTATTACAACAATTATATTATGAGGGGCTAGCACATAATAGAATTTTGACACCAAAACAATTACAATTGGTAAATTTTAAAGAAATAATTTTTAAAGATTTGCAAATATTTGGGGACAATCATTCCGCAACTTTTAGAATTTTGGAGCTTTTTCGGTGTGGTTCAGGCCCAGTGGGTCCTATAAATAAAAAAGAGCTTTGGGTCTTTGGTTCTAGATTTTTGAAGAATTTTTTAGAAACTGGGAAACCTCCATGCTCATTGACTTTATAAGCACACAGAAAACAAAAAATCATATTTACAGACCAGTCCGCAAATGTGTTTTTACTAGTTTTAGCACTAGACAAGATAATCTTTCGTGACCTATTATAATATCTTTTTTAGATTTATATCGGAAAGTTTCAAGAGATTTTGGAAATTTTCAGAAATCTATGTAATACCACAATATAAAATCTTAAAAAAACACCATCTTTCATACTCCCGGAAATTGGATGGGACTTATCCTGAAAGCTTTTTGAATTCCCTGCCTTGCACAATCTTTTTATTTTTATAAAATTTTTTTTTCAAAGTTAATACCTGATGTTGAAGCTTTACTTGATTTTCACCTTTCATTTTTACGTAGTCTTATTGAACGTTGTTCTCAATCACCTATTGTAGATGAAATTTCTGATATTTTATTGACAGAATTTGGTTCAGGGAATTTTCGGTGAGGAAATTTTTTTGTTTCTTTTCTAGAAAGGATTTTTTGTTGATTCAGTAGAATGGAACGAGTCTAAACCCAATATTGGACACCCATCAATTTCAGATACCTTTCCAAGTTAGGTTGGCCATTGGGGGGGGGTGGGTTGGCCACTCTTTTTAACCCAACTCATTACTGTTGCCTTAACGGTGCTCTCTATCTAAGCGTCACCTCATTATAATGGACTATTTTTAAATCAAGGAATGTATACATAACGAAGTTTAATTGTAATTTAATCTTAATCATATTTTCCAGTAATAATGCAATAAATTCATATACTGCCTTTTGTCTTGGCCGAGAAGATAGTGCAAAACAATATTCAACTTTAATTGCTCAAAATATACATTTTCGTAAATTTATGGAATATTACGAGGGACAACATAAAGATCGTTCACTTAAAGATTGTATGTTATTGGTTGCTCAAAGATTAACAAAATATCCTGTTTTGGTTGAACAGGTGTGTGGTGTTGTTTTTTAAATTAAATTTAAACTCGGACACTTTTAATATTTTTTTATTGATAAGCCGGCAAGGAGCCAAACGGGATTTCGGGCCAAACGGGGATTTTTATTCTCTCTCAAGGGCCAAGAGGACTGATAGAATTTTATTTATAGATAAGGATTTTGAGCCAAACGGGGATTTTCCTCCTCTTTAGCCCGGTTAATAGGATCAATCAAATTTTATTCATAAAAACTTGAATACCTCTCGAACCGATCGAGTATTTGATCGATTAGTTTTTTTGCTTAGCTGTTTCGAAATTTATATTTTGAGATGTTAGTATCAACTTCGATTTTGAAATTGTTTTGTTACGAAACAGCTCTAGTTTTGAGTTAATATTAAGGATTTGTATGTTCAGAATCAAGCCAAAGAAAGACGGGGGGTTTTTTTTGTTTGGTTCTTCGGTTCCAAATATTTTAATATTTTTTTTAGAAATCGGGAACCTCCTTGAACCCCTTTCAAATACAAGAATTTAATATTCATTTAAAAATTATTTATTAAAAAAATAGATTGCCAAACAAGAATCTCAACCATCAAAACAATTATTAGCTCAAAAAGCCCATTCTATAGTTCGTGAATTTGCAATGCAAGTAGATCAACAATTAATGCAGCATGAATTAAATAAAAAATGGACAGCTTTAAAAAAAGCTTTAGATAAATCTGCGGCTATTGCTAAATTGGTACTTTTTCTTATTGTTTTGAAAGCTTCTTCAAGTGTTTATGAGGAGCTTTATGATATTATAAAATATTAGTTAATAATAACCGGAGCCATGAGTAATTAATAAAGTTGAGAATAGGTTCCATATATTTCAAAATCTTGATTCCTACTCCGACCAGATCGGCTCCGAAGCCTCCTATAGATATCCAAAATTAGAGACCGAAATTAGAGACCTATAGATACCCAAAATTAGATACCCAGCAACTAAAGGTAGTGTTTCGAAACTTCGCTTTCATTCGTATTGTCTCATCTATACGACCTTCAACAAAAGGATGGGTCGGCTTTAGAAATAAACCGAGTCGGGTTTTCGAAGTTTCTCGGCGTGGAATGAAGCCCGGTGTCGAGTAACCTTCCCTCTCTTGCTTAGAAGAACAGGCGGATTAGTCAGCTTAATTTTTTACCGCTTAAAAAAATTTTTTTCCTAGATTCACCCAAAAGATGGAATTGACTTTTCTTTTGACGATTTAGTTTGGCCTGTTGAAAATGACTCAACAATAACATTAACTAATTCAACAAAAAGTATTGGAAGACGGCAAATTTTATTAATAACACGTGCTTTTTGGCGTGAGACAATGAATGGACCTGAACTTGAACGTAACATAAAAACATTTTCCCCCAAAAAATGTCTTTTTTTAAGTTCGTTTATTACTCTGTGATGATGTTATTGTCTTCCTAAGACCTAAAGGTGGCGGTGGAGGATCTTCTTCATCTACAGTTAATGTTGGCTTAAATTCTAATGCTGCCAATACAAAATTGGTAAATAAAATTATTTTTAGGAAAATTTGACTTTGATTAAGATTATTGGAACTCACTATAGGATATCTCCCATTAGGGCTGAATAATTTTGGATTTAGATTCAGAGATATGAGTTTGTTTATACAAATGTGATCGTTTATCAATTTTTTGCTCCTCTAAGTTTAGATTAGAGATCGAACCGAGACGGAACGAAAGGTTGTTGATTGGGCTGGAAATTAAGAGAATATAACTGGGGTTCTAGAAGGCGATTAAAAGGATATCTGAAGATTTGGTAGGGGAATTATGGGGATATTGGGGTTTGAGGGGATTGGCTTAATCCCCATTATACGATATCTAGATTTCTCGAGATACCGATTCGATTCCTGTACGACCCCAGTCCGGACTCTTGTTCAGACATGGTATAAGCAATAACAGTTGATCTTATCCTGGACTTAGTCCTAGACTTAGGAATCTTCGTAGTGGATTTCCTCATTAATCTCTCATTATCTTCTTAATCCTCTGTGAGATTTGAGAGATAATTCTTTTACTTGTTTTTTTTTCCAAAAATTCAATTTTTTAGCCTCCACTTCAATTCTTTCGCCATATCTCTCATTCTGGAGTTTTACCACTTCACTCAATTTTAGTCCGTGGAGAAAATGTTCGAAGAAAGAGTCTTCTTTTAATTGTTACTGCTAAACAAAGACCAGACTTGTAAAAAATTCTCTAAAAATTTTTCAAAAAATTTCTCCCTTAAAGATTTGAATTTGCTTTTCCAACAAGTGTTGAATTGGAAAATTTTGCTTTAGCTATTAAAAAAGCAAAGGTAGAAGCACCAAATTTTGTTCGTTTAGCAGATGGGAAATGTTTTGAATTTGCTGATAAACCTATTGGGGATGGAATGGGGAAACCTATAATTAATTCTGATGATTTTAAAACACAAATGGAAAATTGGAAATTGGAATTGGATCAACTTTTTGGTGAGGGGACTTGAGATTTTTTAGACTAATAAATTTTATTCCAAGTGTCATTGGTAAAGACCTCAAAACCTCAAAAAACTCTTTGATAAAGACCTCAAAAAGGATAAGGGTAACCACGATTTACCACAGCCCCCAGTCCACTTTGAACTATTAAGAAAGCTCAATCCTCCTTGAGGCTTTATAAACTAAGTTTATGAAAGGGGGATCTAGTTGAGAGTTCATTAAGTTGGAAATTGGAATTGGATCAACTCTTTGGTGAGGGACTTGAGATTTTTAGACTAATTTTTGTTGAGGTGTTAGGGATTGTTCACAGATCGGTTAGGATTTGCCTGCCTCCTATTATTCTCCATTTAACCGGCAAAAATTAACCGGTCCTAAACCATCCCAGTTGATGTCACTGGATCAGAACCTCAAAGGATAAGGGTGACCGTGGTTTACCACACAGGCCACGTTATCTCGCTGCTTATAATTAAGCTTATGAGAAGTGGCCTAGTATCTCCCTAAAATCAAACTTTAAGAGCCCCCACTGTCTTTTAAAGTGTAAATCAGTTATGTGGGAGGTTACTCGAAACCAATACCTGAAAAGCCCGGATTTTTTCTTAACCTAAGATATCCTTGGTGTACATCTTTACGTTTTATTAGTTTTTGTATGGTTTTTGCCCTTTCTCGACTTTTAAAAATAAATTTTGACATTCTTACTTATTTTTCAGAACAACGTTCGAAAGAGGAGGCCGATTTGGAGCATTATTTTGAGGCTCGTATGCTCTTTATGGATCGTCTACGTACACTTGTAGAACGAATTCCACGAAGAAAAAATAAACAAAAGAAGAGAAGAAGGAAAAAAGTTGACGATAATGAAGATAAAAATGAAGAAAGTTTGATGAAGGAAGAGGAGAATGAGAAGGAAGAGGAAGAAGAATATAAAATACAACAAAAGGCAGCATTTGAACATTTGCGAAATCGTTTTAGGTAGAATTTGAAAAGATTTTCTCGATTACTTACTATCTCACGAGTAATCTGGAGCAAAAGGAAAAATTCAAAAGGCCTGATTTTAAGAAAATTGTCGCTATGGGTTACCATCTTTTTGAAAAATAAACCTGGATTTTAATGAAAGGCCAAAATTCGAAAAGTGTCAAAAATTCAAAAATTCCAAAGAAAAAAAAATTATTTCAAAAATTGTTAACCTAAATGAAACTGAAAAAACATTCTCAAAACATTAACCGAGAATAAGTGATCCAAAAATGAACTTGCTGAAAAACTTTGAGATACTAGAGCTATTTTCAAGATCGAAAATTTTCCACGACTCAAGATCAAGATTGCACCTCAGGACCAAGATCGAAAACCCCCAATACCAAAACTTAAGTACAAGAGTCTTAGCCAGCTCTTTGGGATACTAACTCGGAGAAGTACATAGATTCTCACCTAAATATTTTAATTACGTGGTTAACAATTTTATTAAATTTCTACAGAGAATTGGAACGAACACGTGTTGAGCCTCTTGTGCGCTTAATAGATAAAGCTAAAAAGATGAGAGATGCTGATCTAATAGCACTTTTTGATGATTTTTATGATTTGGGCGGAGAAGTACAACAACAAGAAGAAGTAAAAGAAAAGTGTGTTGTAATAGCTACTGGTAGTGGAGATTCTGCTACATCAGCAGAAGAACAGCCACGAGCTTCTGATGAAGATAGAAGGCCTAAACCTAGAAGAGTGCGTACTTACCATGGAGCGACTGATAAACGAAAAAGTGGGGATTTTTGGAAAATTTTTTTAGAAGATTTAATTGACAGACCTCCATATAAGGGACTCCCTGATGCTTAAAAATATTGTATCTTATAATGAGAGGAAGCTGTCTAAGTGGTAGCGGGTATCGCTTAGACAGCTTACTCTACATAGAATCATATCAATTGATCAACCAAATTTAGAGGCGTATCTTAAATTGACGGGCATCTATTACTGTGAATCTTATAATGAGGTGTATCTTAAATAGAGGATATCGCTAAGGCTGCTCTCCTATCCAGATGTATTTAGGTAGAGGATAAGCTCTCCTACATATCCACCTCTAACAAATTCTAGAAAAATATCTTAAATTAAGGGAGGTACCTATTATTGGGTGTACCTTATGAAGAGGTCTGTTTATGATTCATTTTCTTTATCATCTTTTAGAAGGAAATTCTGATGGCTCATCCTGTTCCTCATCTGGCGGAGCAAGTGCCATCCGTCGACATACAACATTTCCATCTAGTGGACGCCACGATGCAAGTTCAGATGATGAGGATGACGAAGAAGAAGAAGATGAATGTCTACGTCAACTATTACCGCTTCGTATGGGTGCTGGAGCGCGTCGTGTAGCAACCGATTTAATTCGAGAAAATTTGCGTTTGCGTACACAATTAAATCGTTTAAAGGCTAAAACAGCATTGCAGGCAAGAAAAAAATATTGTAAAAAAATAAAATTGGGCCCCCTATAAAAAACATCTTTACGGATGATGTGCCTTATACTGGAGGGGTACCTTATATGGTGGTATGGATTAGTAGTTCCTATCAGGTGTGAGCGCAAGAGGCAATTGGGAAAACGGTAAAAAACGCAACGCAAGCCAAAAATCAACGCAAAAATGCAATGCGCTCATCCCTGTCTCCTATGCCCTTAGAGGATGCCTCGGGTTGAGAAAAGGATATGATCAAGCTTTTGTCAATAAAGGCGAGTGACCCTCAACATATTTAATAACCCTTGAACCCTTGACATTCCTTATCATAGTGGCTGTTTTTTTCGTGAGGCTTGACTGAAAATATTTTAAAATTAATTTTATTAAAGAATAATTTCTTTTCAGGAAATTTGGTTAACAGCGGCAATGCAAAAAGTAATTAATAATGATGAAATAATTATTAAGCAAGAAGAGGAAGAAAATAAACAATTAAAAGACGAAGAATTAGCTTTAAATGAAACAAAAGTTTTGAAAATAATGGCCCGCGATCTAGCTCGTCGTGAGGCAGAAATTGAACGAAAAGAGGTGGGTAATGATTTTTAGTCAGTAGAAATTGATATTCTGAAAAATAATTGCAATGGAACACAGCGCAGTTCCGGAAAATATACCTATTCTGAAAATTAATTCTGATTTCTTAAAAATAATTCTGAAATTAATTCTGATATTTTAAAAATAATTCTGAAATTAATTCTGATTTAAAAAAAAATTCTAAAATCAATTCTGATTTTTAAAAAAAATTCTGAAATTAATTCTGATTTTTTTTTAATTCTGAAATTAATTCTGATTTTTTAAAAATAATTCTGAAATTAATTCTGATTTTTTATAAATAATTCTGAAATTAATTCTGATTTTTTAAAAATAATTCTGAAATTAATTCTGATTTTTTATAAATAATTCTGAAATTAATTCTGATTTTTAAAAAATAGTTCTGAAATTAATTCTGATTTTTCTCAACTATTCTGAAATTATTTATGTTAATAATTCTGAAAATTTATTCTGAAAAATTTTCCGGAACTAAAAGCGTAAACGTTTTCCGGAAAATAGAGACAAAATAATAACATAGAGTAGAGAAAAATAAATTATATTAATAAGTACAAGTTGGTTAGAGAGTAAGAGAAGGTTATGGCTATTTTTAAATTTTATCGAAAAAATTTTTTATTTAAATTTTAAAAAATTTTAAAAATATTTTTTAATTAAAATAAAAATTAAAAAAAAATTTTTCCAGGCACAACTTAAAGCTCGTGAAGAGGAAACATTACCAACTTTACCATCAACTCAACAAAAACCCTCCTCCTCCTATCAACACTCACCATCTTCCACTTCTTTACAATCTCCTTCAAACACAAAATATTCAAATATAGAAAAGAAAACATCATTTAAAGGTAATAAACAACAAAAAAATCATCAACAACAATTATTACAACTTGAAAAGCAAAAAGAGTTTGATCACCACCAATCAGTTACTACAACTACTTCTCCATCAACTTCGACAAAATCTACAACTACAATGTGTGTACATATTTTTTTATTTCAAAAATCATAGAAATGATTAAACAATTTTTTGACTTTTTTATTATCCAACTACCGTATTTACTGAAATAATTACCCGGGGTAATTATTGTTTCAATCTCTCGCTGTAGGGGGTAATTAATAGGGACTGGGTAATTATTTGAGCAAATACGGTAGGCTTTTTTCGAGACTATTTTTTGAGCCAATTTTTGCGTTATCTGAACACACGTCTTTAGGATCGAGTTGGGCCATTTGTAAACCCTGATACAGTAAAATATCATTAATACATCTCTTTAATTGCAAGTCGCTCTCGTCGTTTCAACAGGGGTCCCAAGGGCGACGTACTAACGAGATTCCACTATAATAATAGTAGAGTTAAAATTGAATAATGCTGGATTTGATTTCCGGATAGTAAATTTTTTTTAACTTGACTAGATTTTCCGGATCTAAATCCGGATTATTTAGACCCGGATCCGTTTCAGGATTTCAAAAAAAAAATTTCGGCTGCAATTTATTCGACTACTACCCCCTGTTTCTATATACCGAATATGCTCTATTAATTACCCTCTATCAACTAATTACCCCCGCTCTATTACTTACTCACTCCAGCGAGAGATTGAACCCAGGCTAATTATTAGAGCATATACGGTACCTATTTTATTAAGCCAACTTTTATTTCTAATTTGAACCGGAGCAGTCCGAATTTCTTGGATTTTACTTTCCCCTGCTCTCTCTCATATCCTCTCTTAGGCTTAACCTTTAGGATCGAGCTGAGCCTTTAAAAATAAATTAAAAATTTTTTTCTTCAAATTTCTAGTCGAATAAACAATACTTATTGTGGTGCTGGACCTATACCAACATCAACATTATCAACTAGTAACACTAAAGATACTTTACTTCCTTCCTCAATAAGTAATAGCCATTTAATTCAATCAAATAAACAACAATTTAATAATAATAAAAAATGTTCAATAACAATGTTAGAGCCAAATCAAAATAATATTTCTTTTGAACGTCGAGCATTAAGTCATGCTGAATTGCCTGTTCATTTGGCTGTAAAAACTGAGACAAAACAAAGAAGGAAATAAAATTAAAATGAATTTTTGATTGAAAAAAATTTTTTTTCTTTATTTTAAAAATAGAGGAGAGTCTGTACCAGACTGTTTCAAAAATTCTTTCCTTGATTAAAAAAGTTTTTATTAATTCTTGGCTTTTATAATATACAGTCTTGAATAGGGTTAGGGTTTTCGAGTCGGGCCGATGTTCGAGTCATCTTTTTTATTGGGCTGGCCCGCCGAGTCTGTTTCGGGCCAAAATTTGCTGCCCGACTCGATCTTTCGGACCGGACCCCCAACCCTAGTCTTGAAACTTGATTTTACACTTTTTGGTACTGAAAATTTTTGATCTTTTAATAAGTTTTGTATTTAGAATTGAGAAAATATATTTTACTTGGGCACTAAGGTTGTCGGATCCGGATAATTCAGATCCGAAGAAATCCCTGGATATCCGATAATTTTTTTTGTATCAGATCCGGATATCCGAATAATAACAGATCGGATTTCCAACTATCCGACAATCATATTTGGGCATTTACTCAATGGCCAACCAAATTTTAAAATAAATTATGATTCTAAATTAGGATGTTAACTTCAGAATTAAGGGTTTCACTTGAGAATTAAGGGTTCGAGAATTAAGGGCTTGACTTCCACTACGCTTCAACTTACCTATCTTTATTATTTTAGAGTGGATTTCGGTATTAGCTCTAATACAAATTTTATAAAAGCCTTGAAGTAATTTAGAGGTCGGTAACTTGCCATCATGAAGAACTCGTATTGGGATTCTTAAAAGATGGAAAAATCGGAATCCTTGGGGATTACTCTCAAAATTTTAGAAAGAAACGATCCCTACGGGATGTAATCTCGTAAAAATCCCTTATGACAAATTCCATACCGGCCTCTAATTAGATAATTTTTTCACATTCCATTTTTATTTAAAAAATTTAATTTTATTTACATTCGCCACTTTATTGTCTTTTTTAATTTTTAAATTATTTTTTAAAAATTATTTTTAAAAAATTTAATGTGCCTTTAATGTCTCTCACTTAAAAATATGTATATTTTTATAGGTACTTATATAATTTTATTCACTTAAAAAATTTTTTCTTTGTCTTTTGACTTTTTTTTTAAATTTTAAATTTTTTTATAAATATGCCTTGCCATTATATATTTAATAAATAAAAATTAAAAAAAAATTTTTTTTTTGGCAGTTTAATTGGTAGTAAAATCCCAACACAATCAAGTTCATTATAGGCGGACATAACTTATGCTTTCTCGAGATTTTAGCCTAATGGGAGAGGTTGGAATTTTCGAATCGTGTCGGCGTTCGAGTCATCTTTTCGGACCGTCCCGACTGAGACTTTTTCGGGCCGTCCCGAAATTTGATGTCCGACTCGATCTTTCGGACAGGATCGGGCCCCAACCCTACTAATGAGAGAGGCTGGAATAATAACTACACTCTTTCAATCGAACGTGTTTAAGTTTAAAAAATCCGATTAATAGCCCTCTAGTGATTAAAAGCCTCGAAATTCTCTCTCTCAAATCTCCAAAATTCTATATCTCCCAAAATTTATTCAATTCAAATTATATTTATTTAAATTCAAAGGATCCTGCCGTCCCGATTCCCGAAATTAAAAAGTTATATTTTTTGTGCTGGCAGGATCCCTAGTACATACTACAATAAAGATGAAAGGAAGAAAACCACAAAAATAGGAAAGAAAATTATTTAATTATTAAAAAAGAAAGAAGAAAAAGAATAGAATTATCCACCAAAGATGTTATTTAGCCATTTATTGGTGGACGTTGATAATTTTTAATACAAGTGCCTGTTTTATGTTTCGTATCATCAATCTCACATTTCAAACCATCACAACATTTAAAAGTATTACTACACTCTGTAACAAAATGATAGCGCCACCTAGTTTCTTATCAATATCTCACCAAATATGATACGGATATGTTTCAAATTTTGTCAGAATATAGGTAATGATATTATGTATTAATATTGAAAAGAAAAAGTTTGTTGCAATTTCTTGAAAAATTTTATAACAATAAATTTGAATTTTTGAGTGTAACAAAAAGATAGCGCCACTTGTATTTTCGAACTTAGGGGTGTTCCGAAAAATTTACAAAAATTCCTGTGAACATATCTATCGATATCTATACTAAACACAAAAGAAACTAAGTTCCTATATAATTCCTTCATTGAGATCTTGAAACCCGAAAATCAACGGAAAACCGAGGTAGAAGTCTTTAAAAAATATTTTCGACCCCTTACAGGTAAAATAAAAATTTAATTTTAGGCTCATTTGAAAGCCCTTGAAATTTGCTACAAGATGGTTTTCATCACTTAATCCAGAAAAAATTACTCTTTGAGAGATAATGAGTTTAGTTTATAAGTTACATTTTCATCACTTTTTGGGGGGCATTTGCTTGATTTTTATGACCTGAAAGTTTATCACATTATGACTTAAAGGTGAATTTTTTTCGAAAAATATATTTGATGCTATCTTGTAGCGAATTTCAAGGGCTTTCAAATGAGCCTAAAATTAAATTTTTATTTTACCTGTAAGGGGTCGAAAATATTTTTTAAAGACTTCTACCTCGGTTTTCCGTTGATTTTCGGGTTTCAAGATCTCAATGAAGGAATTATATAGGAACTTAGTTTCTTTTGTGTTTAGTATAGATATCGATAGATATGTTCACAGGAATTTTTGTAAATTTTTCGGAACACCCCTAAGTTCGAAAATACAAGTGGCGCTATCTTTTTGTTACACTCAAAAATTCAAATTTATTGTTATAAAATTTTTCAAGAAATTGCAACAAACTTTTTCTTTTCAATATTAATACATAATATCATTACCTATATTCTGACAAAATTTGAAACATATCCGTATCATATTTGGTGAGATATTGATAAGAAACTAGGTGGCGCTATCATTTTGTTACAGAGTGTATCATTACCACAAGGATCGTATTCCTTCAAACACGTTTCACATTTTTTTGTATTATATGAACAAAAAGATCCAAGACAACAATACTTATCTACAATAGACACAGTATCGCATTGACCACCTTGTTTAACACAATTGCCAGGTCTACAAGATGAACCGCCAGTTGCTTTAGTTTTACAAAATAGACCACTACAGCATTTATTGTCCTTATTGTTGCAATTGATTTCATTCTCTTGAAGACAACAATTAATTGGTTTAAATAATATAAATAAATTTAAGAATAAAAATAGAACAAGAAAAATATTATTTAAAGAAGCCATTTAATTAATTCTTTTTCCTGAAAATTATTATATTTAGAAGCTAAATTGTTATATTCTCGCGAGCGCTTATTCATCCCGGGCAAGTCTGTCTCGTAACCGACCAGCATTATAATAGCGCATAGAAAGGCCTAACCCCGCTCCGCAATATACTCAACCGGTATCGCCTCTTGAGACCTTCACATCGCACGCAACCTACTAACATCCCAATACCATCCTGGTCAGTGATGGGAAAGTTCCAAAATTTCTTTGGAACTAGTTCCAGTTCCAGAACTAGGTTTTTAATTTTAGTAGTTCCAGTTCCAGTTCCGGAACTCCCTTTTTAAAATTCCTCAGTTCCAGTTCTGAAACTAGTTCCAAGCTAGTTCTAGTTCCAAACTTAGTTCCGTAGTTCTATTTATGGTACTGGAACTGGAACTAATTAGTTCCGGAACTGGAACTTTGCCCATCACTGATCCTGGCCCATCACTAGCTTTACTATACATGTTTTTCGGCATAATTACTGGAAAAGTGTCTTTTTGGTTCCAAATTTTTTGGCAATAACCTACTAGGCATTGTGACAAAGGGCGAGAGTCAATTTATAAATCGAAAGGGAATCTCGATAAGATAGGTCTTGATTTTAAAAATCTGATAAGTACTGTATTGTTATTATTATTTTTAATATATTAAGTAAAATGCTTAAAAAATGATATGTATTGGGTACATTTTATATATAAAATTCCATATAAGGAGCGATATGATTTTTGGGTTTTTCATTTTACAAAGTAAAGATTTTAGAGTAAAATTAAGTAAAATTAAGTATAAATTAGTATAATTTCGTACAAAAATTTGGGTAACGTTTGGGAGGATATTCTTGAACAAATAAATTTTTATTTAAGTAAACAATATTGGAATGCTAAATTTGGAAAGGTAAAAGAAGAATAAAAATTATTTTTTGTTGAAATCACAAGGGATGAGGTGTATAAATATAAAATAATATTTTTTGTTTGTTTTAATTTTAAAGAATTATATATTTTTGGAAAATTAATAATTTTTGGTTTTTTATAAACCGTATTTTCTCGATTAATTTCCCTGGTGAATTATTTTCCTTGGCATGGGGATTTAATCGAGGGAGGGGAATTATTCGAGTTTTGGTATTTGAACGTGCAGTTGGGTATTTGGGTGTGGGGAATTATTGTTTCAACCCAATTCTAGCATGGGGAATTAATCGAGAGGGGGAATTATTCGAGGGAGGGGAAAAATCCCCCGACAATTATGGGCAGAAGTCGTCTTCAAATCCTCAAATATCCAAGTAAATTCATGAGATCCATATGTAAATATGGGCAGGGGTTAAACGATCTGAAAGGATAAGAGGAAGCATTAGTCGTCGCCCCGATAGCTCAGTTGGTAGAGCTCCTGTGTGTGGTGAGCGAAAGCGCCTAGCAATAACTTTCAGGAGGCTGCAGGTTCGAATCCTGCCCGGTGCCTAAAATTTTGCTAAGCTCTTTCTCATATGAATCATCTAATATCCTCCCTAATCCCTCCAAATCCCCTTATTCCAGGCTTTTGTGAAAGAATTTTGGAGAGATATCAAAGATCTCTCCAAAGGATAGAAATACATATCCCTCCAAAATTCCTGATATCCATACTTTCAGACAGATTTTGGATGCGTGTCAGGGAGAGTATTATTCTGAATATTTTGAGAATTAAAATGAGTAAAATGATATGTTTTGCGAACCTTTACCAGCAGTTTATATAATGCCCATATAAGGTGTACTGATCTTTTAGTGTACTGATCTTTAAGAGTAATTTCAATCTACAAACTATACCGAGTTTTAAATAAACATAATTTTTATTCAAAAAACTAAAAAATAAAATTTGCAAATGTTACCACTTTACCGCAGAAGTTGAATGAAGCCGTGAAAATAGGCTAAAATTATGAGGGAAAAGTTGGCTCTGCGGTAATTTTGGAGGATAAATAAATGCAAACAAAAAGGATTGGAAATCCAAATTTAGATTTTTTGGCTGAATTCATACTTTTGTACCTTAAATCACGCGGAGCTATAAGGGAAGGGAATTTTTTTCTGCCCATTTCTATACCTCATTGCCCATATAAGGCTTAATGTACTGATCTTTAAGAGTAATTTCAATCTACAAACTACTAAAGAGTTATTGGAAATCCTTACTTTCTAACAAATAAAATTAGAAAATGGTTTCCATTTTACAGCAGAAGTAGAATGAAGCCGTTAAAATTGGTTAAAAATGAGGGAAAGTTGGCTCTGCATCCAAAATCCCCCTAGATTCTAAAATCAAAACACCATGTTTTAATTATATAGAGGGATTTTAGGTCTTTAAAAGAGACGGTGGAAATTTTTCCAGATTTCTTCTTTTTATGGTACGTGAAATTGCGAACAATTGCGTAAAAATCTTAAAAATCCGCAATTGAATCCACCCCTGTTTTCGAGGGGGTAAACGATTGAAGTGGATGTTGTAAGGAAGAGATAGATCCAGCTGGCTAGCATTTAAACCGCTCACTAGACGAGGGTTTAAGTTCTATTAAAAGAGAAGGTGAAAGCTCGGTTGGTAGAGCACCTGTACGTGGTGAGCGAAAGCGCCTAGCAATAACTGCCAGGAGATCGCAGGATCAAAGCCTACCCTGGACTTTTACCTCGCTCCAACTATGTGTTAATTATTTAAGGGACGACAAGTGATAGTGGTCTTTATACCTTCGAATGATAATAAATCTACTGATAAGCAATTCTTTATTTTTCAAAATAAATTAACATTATAATAACATTTACTATTAAATTTCAAATCTTTTGTGTATCTCTTTAAAGGCAATAATTCCATTCCATGTACCCTAGATTTACCAATTTAGGTGCAAAAGCTATTTGATTTGATAAAGTATCAAACAAAACACAATAATTAGTGAAGGTTTGTAATGAAAATGCTAGTGGCTTTTTTTCTTCTACATCAAATCCAAGTATGCATCTACTGTAAAAATACTGAAAAAAGCGGAATAATTTTTTAAAAGATTTTTTTGTTGATTTTTAAGTTTCGTTAATTCCATTTTAATCTCTCGATATACCTTTTAGGGTACACCCCGATGTACCGCCGAGCTAAAACTTTGTTCGAAATTGTCAAATCCGTGGGGCCCTTGTATTGTTCGATTCAGCCGGTCGAGCCGCATCGAACCGTACCAGGGCGCCACGGATTCGACAATTTCGAACAAAGTTATAGCTCGGCGGTACGTTGGGCTCGCGGTACTCTAGCCTGCTCCCTACCTTTTAACCTCCAAATTCACTGACATCCCTTTTACTCACCCAACCCACCTTTTTTTACTCACCTCTTTAAAGGGAGCTCTATTTTAACATGGGGCGCTCTACACTTCAGCTATCCTCCAAGGTGTGGCTCTAATTTAAAGTGCGGCTCTAATTTAGCATGGGGCTCTATTTTAGGAAATACGCGGTAATTTAACTGTCATAGTCGACAATTCTTATTGAAAACAGTGAGATTAGAATAGACCATATCAACCTTTAATCCCTTAAAATCTCCGTACCCCATATATCCCTCAACACCATATATCTCAATATATCCTTCTTAATCCTCACAAATCCACCAATATCCCACTTAATCTTCAAAATCACTCAATATATCCTTAAATCCTCTTAATCACTTCATTGAGACTGGACAGAGTTATCTACAAGAGGGACTGAATCGTGCAGACTGAAATGAACGTAAGGTTCACTAAAATGAACGTGAGGTCCATTGACTAAAGGTTAGGGTACCTTAGACCAATATTAATGTACTCACATGACTTTTATTTGCCATATTTTTTCCATAAACACTAATTGTTGTATTAGCATTTTTTAATTTTAAACCAATTGTTAGGTTTCCCCCAAGTTTATAGTCTCTACATCTTCCATCTAAATAATAATAACCATATTCTTCGTTAATTTGAGCATTTAAAGCCTTTCCAATTTTTTCAATATTTTCAGAACTTCCTTGTATAGCTCTATATTCTAAATATTCATCGTCAAGAATAAATGTGGTATTCTTCCCAACATTTATAAGTGTCTCTCCATTATTGTTAACGACTTCATCAACAAAAATTTCAATCTTATCCAATATTTTTTCCTTAATTTAAATAGGTATATAACGTAGAATCTCGATTATACGTCACCTAAGTAAAAAACTTGTTAAATTGAGAGCAGAGCTATTTTGAAATTTTGCTTTTCGAAGTTCCGATTTTTGAAATTTTGCTTTTCAAAGTTTTGTTTTTCAAAGTTTCGATTTTCGAAGTTTCGCTTTTCGTAGTTTCGCTTTTCGAAGCTCCAATTTTTGTAATTTCGCTTTTCGAAGTTTCGCTTTTCGAAGCTTCGATTGACGAAAGCTTCGCTTTTCGAAATTTCGCTTTCCAAGTTTCGATTTTCGAAGTTTCGATTTTTGAATTTTCGCTTTTCGAAGTTTCGATTTTCGAAGTTTAGATTTTCGAAATTTCGCTTTTCGTAGTTTCGATTTTCGAAGTTTCGCTTTTCAAGGATTAATTTGTTTCAAAACAGCTCTGATTGAGGACTCATTAATATAGGGTGGATTTGATAACTAGGTTCAAAAGAAGCTTACATCAAATGTAGCATTAATCGGTTTGCTCATCTTATCCAAATCGCAATATTTTTTAAAATATTTTTCTTCGTCAAAACAATCTCTCATATAATAAAAAAATTCCCAGCCTTGTATAGAATCGTATTCGTAATGAACAGTCATAGCAAAATCCACAAAAAATTCGTCTTCCCCATTTAATTTTCTTGAATTTAGCTTCTCAGTTTTATTAAAATTAAATTTGCTTCCTCCATTGTTTAAAATTTCTTTAAATTTTAAAATTTCAAGTTTTCGGCTTTCCAAATTTTTTGATTCAACAAAATTCCAATTTAAACAGAAAAATAAATAAATGGAAAAAAATAAAATTAGAGGGAAGGAAAATTTATTTTTAATCAACATTCTTGAGGGGTTTTTTAATTTTTAATTTAATTTATGAGTTTAATAGCCCCTTTAAATAAGTAAATTTTAAGCCGGAATTGGAAAAAATGTCATCATTTTTGTTTTAAACATGGTCGTTATCTTTTAAAAATTATTAGTTTCTCCCCCTTTTAAATTATTTAAAAAATTCCTAGAATATTTAAGTATATGTTTTACTGCTTACATAAAATGCGTTTTGCAAGAATGTTGACGTTGACCTCTAGGGTAATTTGATTTGAAGTAATTTGATTAGGGTAATTTGTAGTGTTTCACCGGAACCGATATTTTGACCGGAAACGGATCCAATTTGAGTTCCGGATCCCGGAACCGGAACCAAAAAACGTTGGAACTTTCCGGAACTCCCGGTGAAACTCTAGTAATTTGAGTAGAATAATTTGAGGGTAATTCGTCATTTTAAATTTTATAGTGTCATTTGATCACTAGAAAGTAAATGAAAATTTTCTCGTAGTGTGGAAGTAAATATAGACATTTTCTTGATTAATTACCTTTCTTGATTATTTTCCCTAAATTCCTCTACCTGTTCAAAAACACCACATAATTAACGCCATAGATAAAGTGCCCTATTGCTATTTTCTGTTACGCGAACACATCAGGGAACGAGAGACTACAGGCCCAGCATCCGGCCCAGGTCAATAAATTAAACCCTAGAGTCCAGGAACAGGTCCAGGCTTTAATTAAAACACTTGGATAAGCTGAAGATGACAAGTATTGGGACGCCAAGAAGTAAAAAACGTAAAAAACGCTTCACTCGCGGCGACCGTAGCGAAGCGACGGCCGTCGTTTCGCTCGACATGCCCGCCTTCCTCCGCAGCATCACAAAAACAGTCTTTCTAGCGAAGGGAATCTCTTTCGAAAGAGCTCGTTCAACAGAGTCGAATGACACTAAAATCACCTTAATTCATTAATCATGAATAGGGATGGGATTTATATGGACTATCAATCGAAAAATATGGACATATAATATGGACTAAAAATCTCAAAATATGGACTGAAATATGGACTAAAATCCTAAATATGGATCAAATATGGACCGAAAAATGAAAATTTTTGATGGAAAAATGAATTTTTACAAATAAATAATTTGATTTTGGTCATTTTAAGTGTTTTCTAAAGGGTTTTTGTCAATTAAAGGTACATTTAAGGTGTTTCCCAGGTTGTTCAGAAAATTTTTTCGAAAAATTTTTACCAAAAATTTTTTTTAATTTTTTTTCAAAAATTTTTTCTTAATTTTCTCAAAAAAATTTTTTTCTGACAAAAAAAATACCAAAATTTGAAAATTTTGACCAATTTTTGCCAAAATTTTCAAAATTTTGGCCAATTTTTGGCAAAATTTTACAAAAAATGACGAAATATGGATAAAATATGGAAATATGGACGGAAAGCCAAAATATGGAAAAATATGGAAAATATGGATTGATAACTCATTATCGGTCTTATCAACATATGCTAAAACAACGTTTTTCGTGCGTTTCACGACCCAATTAGGCCAGGAAAAAAATATGGAAATCCATATAAATCCCATCCCTAATCATGAACAAAGATATAATTTGATTAAAATTGAGATTTGACGCTGACATTCCTTATATATTTTAAAATAAATTGAGAAACTACAGGGTGCTCAATGAAAATTTATAATTCTTTTTTTATTTGATTCCGAACACTCTAGGAAACATTTTGGTACTGAATATTAGAAATTTGGTTTAAAGATAATAAAGATATGCCCGAAATAGTCTATAAGTCGCATCAAGAAATATATTTTTATGCCAAAGTTTACTTTACCATAGCTTCGTTCAAAGTCATCCAATCTTACTAATTTTGGTACCAATCGTCTCGTCTCGACGAGGCGCATCGAAATAGGCTATAATTAGATTTTTGAAAATTTCACCTAAAAAAGTCAAATTTAACATCAAGTTCCAAATTTATCATTTAAAGGCCCATATCTCAGCCCAAGAACAAGATAATAGCCTAGTTCTTACGTCATTCGAATCAGACAAAAGAGCTTATTCGAATGATATAAACATCCTGAATATCAGACACGCGGTTTTTAAATCAGAAGACTTTTGGTTCAAAAATTTTTGCCAAAACTTTAAGAAAAAATTCTCAAATTAATTTAAAAAATTTAGAGAATATTTTTGTATCAAAAAGTTTCCTAGAGTGTTGGGAATCAAATAAAAAAAGAATTATCAATTTTCATTGAGTTTGAAGAAAGTTATTCAAAAAATAAAGTCGGCGCTAAATTTGCCGCACCCTGTATAACATTTAATATTTATATATATATATATAATTTAAATTTCAAAAAAATTTTTATCTGTTAAATTCTTTTTTCTTAACAATAAATAAATTCCATATCTTCTGACTTTACCACCTTTGGTGCAAAAGCTATTTGATTCATAAAAGTGTCAAATAAAATACAATAATTATTAAAACTTTTTAATGAAAATTCTAACGGCATTTCTTCATCAATATCCAGTCCAAGCATACATTTATTTTCATGCTTAAAAATCCAAAAAAAATTTTAAAAATTTTTTGGTTAATTAAAGGATGAGTACATAAAGCGAAAATAAAAGTTTGTCCACTGGAAAGAATCGAAACTGTGACTTCTTGGCGTCCCAATACTTGTCATCTTTAGCTTATCCAAGTGTTTTAATTAAAGCCTGGACCTGTTCCTGGACTCTAGGGTTTAATTTATCGACCTGGGCCGGATGCTGGGCCTGTAGTCCTGGAAAAATCCAGACCCAGGAAAAGCCTAGGACTGACTCTGTACTGACTCTGTACTGACTAGGGATGGGAGACCCGCCACCCGATATTCGAAACCCTGACTTTTCTTTAATCCGAAACCCGATCTGATTCTTCTCATCTCGTTCACCACCATTACTACAAATATAGGTAATTGGGTTTGTTCACCCCCATGCCTTAGAACACCCCTGTTACTACAAATATAGGTATATGCTTACACTAAAGTCTGCCATATCTCTTCCAGAAACATTAATCGTTGTATTGGAATCTTTAAATTTTACACCAATTGTTGGTGTTCCTTCTGATCTAATGTTTTTACAATTTCCATTTAAGTAATACTTATTGGTTTCCTTGTCAATTTGAGCATTTAAAACTTTTGCAATTTTTTCAACATTTTTAGAACTTCCACTCATGGCCTCGCCTCCATTAAGAAGTAAAAATTCAGTGTTCTTTCCAATATTTATAATTGTTGCTCCGTTATTGTCGACGATTTCATCAACAAAAATAACAATTTTAAACAAGTCGTATTCCTTAAGAATTGTATCTTATAACGAGGGTGCTCCTAAATAGAGGAGACAAATAGAGACCATATAACGAGGTGTCTATTAAATAAAGGATACCTCATAACGAGGTGTCTACTAAATAGAAGATACCCTATAATGAGGTGTCTCTTAAATAGAGGTCAATCAGCTTCCCATACTTACTAGCTAACCAAATTCTAAAGAGTGTATCATAAACCGAGGTGTGTCTAGTATTAAATGGATCTTATAGAGCGAGATTCAAAGGTTAACTTACATCAAATGTGGCATTAATCGGTTTGCTCATCTTATCCAAATCGCAATATTTTTCAAAATATTTTTCTTCTTCATAACATAAATATTCTGAATTAAATATTTCGTAGTCTTCGACATATTTAAAAACATAGTTGTAATCAATCATAGCAAAATCAACAAAGAATTCGTCTTCCCCATTTAATTTTCTCGAATTTAGCTTCTCAGTTTTATTAAAATTAAATTTTCTTCCTCCTAAGTTTAAAATTTCTTTAATTTTTAAAATTTCAAGTTTCCGGCTTTCCAAATTTTTTAATTCAACAAAATTCCAATTTAAACAGAAAAATAAATAAATGGAAAAAAATAAAATTAGAGGGAAGGAAAATTTATTTTTAATCAACATTCTTGGGGGGTTTTTTAATTTTTAATTTTTTTTGATTTGAGTAGCCCCTTTAAATATTAAATTTTAGACCGGGCCTGTAAAGCAAATGATATCATTTTTTATTTTAAAGATGGTCGTTATCTATCTATACACTCATTTTTAAATTAGCCACTAAATTGTGTTTTGTGAAAGAAAAATTTCTAGGTGTGTTTATTGATATGTGAGGGGGAATTAGAAAAAAGAACAATGCTTGGAAAAAAAATTATTTAAAATTCCAGGAAATTTTCTTCTTGTCAAACAAACTTCAAAAACTCTCCAAAACCCTTCCAAAACTCTCCAAAAACTCTCCAGAATCACTTCAACCCTACTCACAAAAATTTTTTTAATTAGTTTATTTTTCAAAATTTAAACAAACAATTTATTGAAATAATTGGAATCGGGCTACAAAAATTTTAAATATATAAAAGAGACTTGCATATGGATACGGATAATATCCGTATACCGGCGGATATTCGAATGAAAATGTTTTCCAAAATGGTCCGATATGGATTGGAGATGTCTCGAGTGGAGAACAAAGTCGCCGCCTACTGTCAGCCTTAGGAATTAAATAGCTATATGCTTTACAATACTAAAATCCGTGCCCATTTGCATGCCTCATAAAAATAAAAATACATTTTTTTTCAATAAATAACATTTGTCAAGTAAACACAAAAAATCTTTTCAGTATTTATATTTTATATGAATTTCCCTGTCTTGATTTTAGGTAAAAAATACACCTAAGTTGAGTTTAAGTTAAATTACTTTAGAATGGAATATTTCGACACGTTCTAAGAAAGGTAGGATAAGATTGGAAAGAGAGGGATCGTCTCTCTAAGCCGTGTTTTTATCAGTTCAACATTCCTACAAAATGATGTTTGACTTGCGGATAAAATAAAAACGAAAAACAACAGAACGGGAGGAGATGGTTAAGAGGATAACCAAAAAGCTTACTTTGAAGAGAATCAAATTCCATCCAAACTTTTATTATTGGAGGGGGGGGGGGAGGGGGACTTGTTGATGCCTATATTCTGTGCTTTCTGGTTCCAATTCATGGAATGGATTTTGGAATTTTAGGGGATAAGGGTTTATAAAATATAGGGGATAGGGGGGTTTATGAAGCTAAGGGGTAGGGGGTAGATATAAAAATAGGGGATAGGGGCTTCAGTATAGAGGGGGGCTTCAGATAGAGGGGGGGCTTCAGTATAGAGGGGGGCTTCAGTATAGGGGCTTCTTCAAAAAGATAGTGGGTTTATATAGGGGGCTTCTTCTTATAGGGGCTTCTTCTTCCTTAATAGGGGCTTCTTCTTTGGGGTTTCAGTAGCTGTATTGCTAGCCTACTTAAACTCAACTTAGAATTTTTTTAGTCATTTTTTAATTTTCTTTAGATTTTTCTAATTGATCACAACATTCATTATTTTCGTTTTTTGTTCCATTTTGTATCATAGGCGTCTCAGTCAATCTCTGAGAACATTGCTTTTTAGCTAGTGAAGGCTGTGAAGATGATGAGGAAATAAAAGAAGATGTTCTCTTTCTAATATTTTCATTATTTTGATGGACTGGTGATGAATTGTCGCTTTTACTTTGATTTAATTTTTCTGGGTGAGAAGGTGCTACACCTAAAATTTTAAATTTTAATTAAAGGAAAAATTCCTCATGATACCCATAGGGATGAGAATAAGAAAGAAAACTGCTGATCAGAGCTAACGCAAAGGAAAATTTTTGCGCAAAATTCAATTTAAAAAAATTCGCAATATAATTTTGAAATCCGCAAGTGCAAATTGAAAAACCCCAAGCAATTTTAAGTAAAATCCAAGTGGACCTGACTTGCTTCTAATATATTATGAGTAATCACAAGAGTTCAGCGGTATCGGGATCCCGATTGGGCGGGATTATCCCGGGGTTTCAATCTCGATTTCAGTTAACCCCGATCTCTAATCAGGATCCGGGATCGGGATTTGTATCAGATTCCAAAGCAAATCCATATTTTATAAAAATTGACTAAAAGATTGGTAATGACTGTGAAATAAAATTAGCAGAAAAGGGGATCCCGATTTCTTGTCAAAATCCCGATACCGCTGAACATGAGTGAAGAGTGAGAGTGCCTTGAGTAAGCACAAGAGTGCCTTGCTTCTCCTTAAATCTTTCGATTTTTGGCATTTGCTTTCTCAAGTTTTCAATTTTAGATTCTTTTAAGACTAATCTCAACTTAGCCCTGATTTTAACCTTTTTTTCGATAATTTTCAACAAAAAATTCTTTTTCACTCAATCATTGTAAAGAATTTTCCCCCCATTTTTTTATTTTTTATTTCCTCTAATTAAAATAATTAAATTAATGAGAGAAGATCAAGAACTGATATCGCCCCGTAATAATTTAATTCTCCTCTTCTCGCGCAATAGATTAGCTAGGATAAGGAAAAGGAGAAGAAGGGGGAAAGAAGAGAGAGGAAGAGGTCTTTACTGTAAAATCATAAAGAAATCTCTCTTTCCATCAAAATTAGAAGATAAAAATTTTATTAAGAAATAGCGGAAGGCGGCAAATATGCCTTTGATCAAGCTTAATTTAGTCAACAGAAAAAAAGTTTATTAATAAATTATTAAAATGCGCGACCACACCAAAGAAGAATCATCAAAATATCTAAAAGATTTAAACGTAGGCATTTTCAAAGAGAATTTTTAAATGACTAGGATATAAATTAATTAAACAAGCTTTAAAATTAATAATTAAGAGATAATTAATAATTAAAATAAGGGACAGTGAGAGAGAGAGAGATGAGAGTGAGAGAGTGATGAGAGAGACACGTGAGAGACACACAGAGACATGAGAGAGACAGTGATGAGAGAGACACGTGAGAGACACACAGAGACATGAGAGAGACAGTGATGAGAGAGAGTGATGAGAGAGACATACAGAAACATGAGAGAGACGGTGAGAGAGTGATGAGAGACACACACAGAGACAGTGATGGGAGAGACACGTGAGAGAGACACACAGAGACATGACACATCACATCTCACAAGAGACAGTGACCTTGCCAGAGATATGTAGGACGGATTACCCAACACCTAGACTTTTTTCAATCACTTTTCAATCCGAAATTAAATGTGCCTCATTATAAGGCACATTTATAGTGGGGGTCAGACGTGGGCGAAACGTTTCGTTTCGTTTCGTTGTTTCGTATGTTTCGTGGGTTTTTTTGAGTATCGTTTCGTTTCGTCACGAAACACTTTTTAATTTGTTTCGTTTCGTTTCGTCAGAAAAAAATTTTGAGTTTCGCCCAGGTCTGGTGGGGGTTGAGTCAGACCTCAAGATAAGGTAAATCAAGACAAGACAAGATATCCTTGTCATTTAAAAATTCTCTTTGAAAAATGACGACAGTTTAAATCTTTTAAATATTTTGATCTTCTTTGGTGTGGTCGCGCATTTTAATAATTTATTAATAAACTTTTTTCTGTTGCCTAAATTAATTAAGCTTGATCAAAGGAATATTTGCCGTCTTTCGCTATTTTTTTAAAATAAAATTTTCATCTTCCGATTTTGATAAAAAGAGAGATTCCTTTTTGATTCTACAGTAGACTTTCCTTCCTCTCCCTTTTTTCCTCTCCGTTATTTACCCTACTACATACTAGGCATTTGAGGCTGTTGTTGTTGTTGTCCTCCAACAATTGCAGCTAAATGCTGGGCAAAAACAAAAGGTAATTGAAGAGGGTGGGGTTGGGAATGTTGTTGACCTATTAATTGATTTTGACGTTGTTGTTGTTGGTTATGGTGATGGGCCAATGCTAGAGCGAGAATGTTTGGATCTTAAATTTAAGTGTTATGTCTGGGAGAAAAGAAAATTATTTTCTGAATTTTATTAAGCTTAAGGATTCTATTATTCAACTCATGTCAAGTTCAATTGTCAGACGCCAAGATAAATAACCTCAATTTATTAGTAATAACCTCAAGCCAAGTAACTTCAATTTAAGATACGTTTTTGAATTTCGATTGTCATCTGGAGAGAAGACAACTCAATCTTAGATTGCGAGAGCTGCTCTGTTACCTATTTTGCCACTTTAAACCCTAAAATAGGGAACTATTCTCCCTTTTTCGGACCTAAAATCTCGGACTTTAATTATAAGATACAAATTAACACCAAGAGATTATCTTATATTAAGGCCAGTATTGTTAATATTACCTCCCGCAATCGCTGGATGTATTTGGGGAGGGGGAGGAAGATTCATTCCAGCACCTAAAGCTAGCTGTGAATGTAATAATAACAATTGTTGTTGTTGGTGTTGTTGTTGTAAGATAGATTCAATATTTCTAAATTGTTGTCCATTAATTGGTGTACGTATAGAATTATTATTTGGGGGATATATTGGGTGTTGTTGTTGTTTTTCAGAATTTTTAGATGAAGAAGAAAGCGGTGGGGAAGAATAATGCTTCAAATAAAGAAATTGTTTGGAATGGGGAAGATTAGTAAAGGCTTCCAGTAGCACTACTAATTCGTGACTCTATGTCTCGGGGAGGGTTGGAGGATCAAGCGAAATTCCCATAATCGGATCCAAAAGAAAATTTCAGGATATCCGAGCTTCTCAGATCCAAATATGCGGATCCGCTAGCCATAGTTTCTGGGTCTCTCATAGATTTCTTTTCGTTTACCTGCCTTTCGGAATTTAAATTCAGAATGAGATATGTTCCAAAAAATTTTTCGATTGTCCTGGATGGGTTGTCGGTTCTAGACCGAATCGAAACGAAGAACCAAGGATTTTCGGCTCGGTTCTTCGGTTCGGTTCTTCTGTTCGGATACCCGAAAGGAATCGACAACCCTAGTTTCCAAAAAATATCCACCTTTTCGGTTGTTTCCGGCCTCAAATGATGAAAGGAAGACAAGGACACCGCATTTCTACTAAATTCGGGTTGCTTAGCACATCCATTGATCTCTTCTTCCGCCTCTTTATCTTCCTCCTTCTTATCATCCTCATTTCCCAAAGTATCCGCTATAGACCAAAATTTTCTTTTTTTAACTATCTTTTTTTCTCTTCTCTCATTTATCCCTCCATTCACCTTCTTCTCCTCATTTTCATCTTCTTCCTTATCCTTTGGATTGTTGGAAGAGGAGGTTGGACTTGTACTTTTGCTTGGTAATTGTTGTATTTCTGAAATTCCTCCATTTTTATTTTGGTCATTGAACATGGCCCATTGTTGTTGGGCAAGTAAATTTTGTTGTTGCTGATGTCTTCCACTCATTAACATCAAAAAATCCGACATTCCTGGTTGTTGGTGATGGTTTTGAGAATGATGATTTTCTTCTGTATCCACATCAACTTCTTCACCATCCCCCTCATCACAATCATCCTCTGGACGTTCTCTAGGGGACCATTCCATTTTATTTTCTTTTTTGAGACGGCGGCGGGCATTGGCAAACCAGGTGGAAACCTGACAAATTGAATATTAAGTACACCCAATACTTGATAACCCTATATTTAAGATAAGCTTTTTAGAATTGGATAATGGAGCCATTGGATGGGGGGGTAGTCAAGCGATACCCTCTAAGATACATATAATAAGGTACCATTATAAACCAAGGATGTATCTTATTTTAAGGCTCGATCCCAGAATTTTACACTCTAGTTTAAGATCTCTCTCTAAGATTTGGTTGCCAATGGATGGAGGAGCTGCCAAAACGGTACCCATTATCAAGGGTACCTCTTTAAATAAATGGCACGTTTTCTTAGCCTAAGGGGATATCTTTCAATGAGGCTCAACTTCAAAAATACCCTTAGAATTATACGCCGTAATTTAAGATAAGACTCTTAAAATTCGGTTAGCAATTGAATCGGAGAGCTGTCTAAGCGTTACCTTCTATTTAAGACACATCTCGTTATAAGGGTACGGTTTCTTAGCCTAAAGGGATATTTTATAATACAACTCGACTCCAATACCCTCAGAATTATGCACCTCAATTTAAGATACTTTTGCCTAAAGAGTGGGGGGAGCTTAAGCGAAACCTTCTATTTAAGATACATCTCGTTATAAGGGTACGGCTTTTTAGTGTAACATAGTGATGTCCTCTTGTATACTGTACTAATTTGTATTTTTTGTTTCAAGCCTTGTTTTTCTAATCTAGGTTCATGCAAAAGTGTTTACAGACAAAAAAAAATAAAAAAATATTTGAGAGGGATACCTCTTAGCAAATTTAAAAGTGATTTAGTATTTTTCAACTGCCCACACGCAATTTTAGCAAAGAAAAAAACCGCGCAGTTTCTGACCACTTTTAAACACATAAAAAGAAAATACCGACGCCACTTAGCTTTATTGCCTTTTTTCGAAAAAAATATTTTTTTTAATATAACCGCCAAATGACCGGCCAAACTTGTTTATATTAAATTAACTGTTAATTAGAAAGCGTTTTGCCTTTTTTTGAAAATTTTTTTCTTTTGAAGAATAACCGATTTTTTAAAATTTCTATTGAAAAAAAAATTGAAAAAAAGGGGAGATTTGTAGCAAGCAAATTCCTTATTTGATGTTCACTCTTTTATTGCCTCGCCTTAATCTTCGCGCATGTTTAGCAGGAAATATAAAAAGAAAAACAAGTTGGCCTATGAGTTTTTTAATTTCGAATTTTAAACATACGATTGACTTTCAGACAAGGAAGGGGTCTTAGTAGAGATTAGAGAAATTCGGTTGCTCTTTGAGTGTGGACTAGTACGGATTGGCTCTGCCGCCGCCTGGATTTAGGTTAGTAACCTGGGCAGGATTCTTGATCTGGTTCCAGGAAAAATCCAGACTGGATCCAGATGCAGACCGATCTCTAGTAGGGACTGGCGTTTTAAAAGGCCGAAGACAGACGGAAGATGAAAGCGGAACAAAGTAACAAGCGGTAGATGGAACACAAGAGCGGACAGGCCAAAAGAGTACATTTTCGAAAGCCGGAGGGCAGAAGAGACCCCCCCTCACTATTTCCTAGTAAATTCTCACATTTTCACATATCCCTTGACCTTTCTTGGCTTCTCGTATTTTTTAAATTTATTTTTTTGTCCCGTCCTAGAATCAAGGTCAAAAATTACAGTTATACAAGTATTGTCTTGTAATCCAAAACAAATTTATATGTTGACAGGGGGTCAATTGACACAGGAAATTTATAGGGGAACTAGTTTGTCCTATAGCAACCTACAGTAAATGATCTCCAAAAAACAAAAACATCTAAAAGAATTTCTATAGAGAAAAAGTTTCTCTTTAAAAATAGCCCGTAAACAATACAAAAAATGAGGGCAAAAGTTTAAAAAGAATTTTTTTAAATAAATCTGAATCTTTTGTTTAGCAGGAATAATGTTACAAAAAATATTTCCTAAGGAAAACAAGCTCCTTACATATTTGTTTTTAATAAGCGTATACAGGCGGACACCGTTTACGTGAACTCCAATAACTTTAAAATTCTGGTTGCCACTAGGCAGGGTTGGATCGTCTAGGTGATACCGTCACCCTCCAAGCCTCATATTAGCGTACGATTTTTAAGCCTCAAAGAGAAAGATCTGACTGCAATAGGGGAGGCACTTCTAGTAACTAATAATCCTATGTTTCTCATTTTTAATACTCTAAAAGGACTCAGAGCTTATAGACTAGGGTAGCATCCCGAGTCTTCGGGGGCAGGAGTGCCGGGTTTTGTGTTTTGCTGGGATAGACCCTCTTCGGGGTTCGGGTCGGGGTTTATGTCTGAAAATTCGTCGGGGTTCTTCGTCGGGGGACGGGGTCTTACCCTATTACAGACCAGGCAGAATAATTTTTTCAGCCAAATTTTAAACTTGCCTGTGTCATAGTCATATGTGTCACCAGTGCCAGCAAAGTCTTTTCAGCCTTTGTAGGATAAGGATTCTTCCTATGCGCATTCAGCCATTCCTTCAATGGTGCCGTAACTTCCCTTGTCGCATTTTTTCGACGATGTTCAGTCTGAACTTGAACCATAAAAGGTTGAAAAGCGGCCAAAGTTGTTGGATCGAGAGGGAAGGGAAAGGCTGAAGGATGTGGTGGATGTGGAGGAAGTGAAAATGGGGGAGGTGGATGACTCATTTAATTTTTTAAAATAAGCTCTGAAATAATAAAATTCTTGTAAAAAAATAATATTAGGTTATGTATTGAAATTATAGTGGTAAATCAAGCTCGAAAAGGAAGGATATACATACAAGATGTCCTAGGGGCGCGCCAAACTTTGCGGACCCGGATTTCACGGACTCGAAGTGTGCGGATTCAAAACATGCAGATCCGGATTTTGCGGTAGATTTGTGGACCAGAAATTGAAATTCGCGGATCGACAATTGAGCCTCTTGGATTTCGGAAACAACCCAAGGATTACAAAAAATTCAAGCCCAATCACCCAACGACCCAAGGATATAGTAGGAATGTATATACCAGGGATACCAAGTAGGATACCCAAGCAAACCTTCTTAAATCCCAACTAGTCCGCAATAAATTTTCCTTCTCTTGCGGATTTTAATTTGCAGACTACTATTTGACAGCTGTTTGGATCCAAATTTGCGGACAGCCTTTTGCGGATTTCAGAAAGAGGCTACTAATATGTATCTTATTTGTTGACAAAATTAGTATAGTCTGCTTATTGTTAGTATAATAAAATAGTAAAAAGCTAATAAATTTGTACGAAGACGGGCAGAAAAAAAATAAAAATGAGGGGAGAAATAAGGGAGAAATCAAGAATAATCAAAGGAGAATTGGAGGAAAATTGGGAGGAAAATGAGGGAAAATAAATATATAAAATGACTGAAAGAATTAAATGTCTCTCCTACAAATATATACAAATATTTTAACCAAAAAATTATTTGAGGAGGAGCTTTAGTGGAGCTTTACAGATTTATTTGTGTACTAAAAAGAGTGCAACAAGTAGAAAAACAAAACGGAGGGAGGCGGGCCTTTTTTTCTTTTTTTTTTCTCGCTGAGGAAAAATGAGGGAAGGAGGGCTAGAAAACTAGTTTGGGGGGCTAGTATTTTAAAAAATATTTTTATTTTGTTTTAGAGTGCAAATAAGCTATGAGGAGAATGAAAAGGAATGAGGGGAATAATGGGAGAGAGGGAGAGACAATGTAAACATAAAACAACTACAGTAAATGTAGACAAGCACAAACATGTGTAGTCATGTTTACTAATAAAATTCGGGGGCGGGGCTTTTTTAAAGAAATTTTTAAAAATTTTACAAATTTTTTGGGCCTAAGATTTTTTGGAAAAACGGAAGCTCAAAAAGTCGGGAATCGATGGTAACAAGATATCGAGGGAGGGGGGATTTAAAAATTGGTCAGGAACTTTGGAATCATCAATTCCCGATTTTTTCGGCCTTCGGTTACTTCATAGTCCAAAATTTCTTTTGATAGGGCCAAAAAAGTTTTAAATTAATTTTGAAATTTAAGAAGCTCCGCAACCAATAATTAATAAATTCCTGTCCTTTTTGGATTCCGTTTCCTTACCGGTATTTTTTGAAATTTATTTGGCCTTTTAAGTTTTGATAGACATCAAGAATGCCACGGGTAGAGAAAATAGTCGAGTAGGATTTCGGATTGGGGTTTTGGATCGGAGTCGGATCAAATCTCTTAGATCGGGTATCGGATTTTGGAATTTCAAAAACAAATCGGAATAATTATTCGGGTTTCAAATATCGAGTATTCGGAGTTAGAATAGTCTGTATCATCCATGAACACTCCATATGCTTTGGATAGGATGCTTATTGTTAGGATAGTCCGTAGCCGAAGCATCAATATGGATCCATATGGATATCATGAATGCTTCGGATAGTCGTTAGCATCTATTATCGCTATCACTATCTAAAAATTACTTCCTAAATTAAAAAAAATTTTTTAATGATCAACATAAATAATTTTAAACGAAAAATGGCAGTAAAGAGAGAAATGTCCTTTTTTCCTAATTTATATTTAAATTAGAAGAACAAAAATCAGATTTTTTAGAGCATTATTGCAAAGAAAAACGTTTCTAGCATTAAAAATCACGCCTCCTTTGCAGAGTTGTAATAAAATTAAAAAATAATCTTCACTTCCGCCTTTTTACAATTTTTTGCGGATTTTCGACAAGTTATTTGAATATTTCTCTTTGGTTAATCAAACACCGCATAGGGCAAAAAATCCTTTTATTAAGTAGGCATGAAGGCAAGAAACGTTTAAAAATATTTTTAAATTGTCTGTTAATCGTCTTTTAAAAAATAAATGAGCGGAGAATTAAAGGGGGAAAATTTAACGTGTTTTCTGATTAAAGACCAGAAAATTTAAAAAAATTTTTGGCATTGGGAAAAATTAATCAGAAAATAAAAGATTAGTTCAGTAAGAGTAATAACAACATGTATGAGAGTATAACTGATCGGGATCAGGGCTTTAGTAAGAATAACAACAACATATAGGGGGGTATAACTGATCGGGATCAGGGCTAGACGCAAATGTGAATCCGCAAGTCAAAGAAAACCCGCAGTTTTGCGCAAACCACAATTGCGTCCAGCACGATCTGGATCAAGGCGATGGCGTTGAGTTTTGTGATAGACATAGCCGGCCGAGCAAATTGCGTTTTGCGCTAAATTTTGGCCTTGCGGTAAGCTCCGCTCCGCAATCCGCAAGTCCAAACCACGCAGTTTTACGCAAACCATCGCGATCAGGGCGAGCGCGTTGCGTTTTGAGTTAAATTTTGGCCTTGCGGTACTTTTTTGGATAAACGACAAGTGTCAGTCCGCAAGTATGGGTCCGCAAAAGTCGGCTAACCCTTTTTTGAAATTGTCTCTTGCGTTCGATCAGGATAGGGCTATCAGTGCTTTAACCAGCTTTTACACCGTAGACAATTGATTTACAAAATCCGCAATTGCTTAAAATAATCCGCAAACAAAATTCAAAGATGCGGACAGCCCTAAAAGCACAGCTAAGAGAGAGATATTACATCCGGTTTGTAAGCCAGGAAAGTCGAATAATAAAAAATGGCAAAAAATAAATTTTATAAACAAATATTACATAAATTATAATTTGTTTAGATTGCCCTAAACAAGAAAAATGACATTATAAACAATTAGGGGGTTTTATTGGCAAGTGTAATTTGATATAAAATAGAAAGATTTATTTAATATTTATTTAGAAAAAAGATAACAAATAGAACTAAAAAATTCTTAGTTTAAAAAAATCCGGAATTAATTGTTGGGGGTCAAGGGGACGAGCTCAAGGGGACGAAGGGGGAAGCTCAAGGGGACGAATCCAGGGTGGTACGAATCCAAGGTTTTGGTTCAGGGGGACGAAACCAAAGCGCGCCAATATGTACATATATGCGGAATCCATGAGTTTCTTAAATTTCAAAGTTTAATAAGCGGGCTCGCGATAAATGAATATTTTCCCAGATTATGTATCCTTTACATTATTCCCATAAAGATAGCAAAAAAATATTTGTTTGGAGGTTGTTAGTATTTTTTCTCTTTGTTTTTGCCTCATAAAAACACACGGAGTAGGTAAAAACAGCTCCGATCATTTACAAAAACAGAACGCCAATTACATCTTCTGTATCATTATTTAATAAGAGTATTCCCATCATTGTTTTTTTATTATTAGTAAAAGTTTTGCGCAATTTACAACAAAAACAAGTGTTTAAGAGTTGGCCTATAAAAAATGTAAGAAAGGGGAGAATATTTGTCAAATGTGTGCGGGAAAATTAAAAATAAATAAAAAAAATTGAGACAAAAGTGGGAATCATGTAGATTGTGTAAAAAAGGAATGAATGTTTGTTAAATACAGAAAAACAGGAGTTGTGATATGAGAGAAAATAGTTGTGTTAATTATTTATGTGATATTTAAAGTTGTAAAAAGACATTATTTAAAATAATAAAAAGGAGAATTTTCAAAAAATTTTCAAAATTTAGGAATCTACCTAAATAACAAATGTTAATGAAGGAAGAGTCGGCGATTTCGGTTAAACGACAACTCTTCATGGAAGGTAATATAGGCAGTAGAGATCGAGATTTTTGAAAAGAATGGACCTGTTCCTGGACTCCGGTTTGATTTATTGACCTGCGTCGGATCCTGGGCCTGTAGTCCAGGAAAACCACAGCCCAGGAAAAACCCAGGCCCAGGAAAACCCCAGGAAGGTCAAAAAATGCCTGAGCCTGGACTCTGGGTACAGGAAAAATTCAGGCCTTGGTCCAGGTCCAGCTCGATCTTTAATAGGCAGAATCCATGAATTCTTCAGATTAAAGTTTTTCGAATGCCCATCCACTTCTCTTCTACTACTAAAAAGGTCGGATATCCGAAAATTTTCGGTCTGGATATCTGTTCCGGATCTGGGTATCCGAAAATTTGTCAGGTCCGCCAATCCTATTCTCAGGTCCATTCTTAAAATCGGCAAGGGTCCTCGGATTCTGTTTAAAATTCCAAAAAATCTGTAGACAAAGAAATAGAATCCAACACAAGAAATTCAATTTAAGGATCAATTTGAGGATTTTTTAATTTAACAAAATTTTTCTAATTTAAATTTTTGACAGAATATCATTAATTAATACTTCCCCCAACTTCCACCCATTTTTCTTCTCTACAAGAATTTTTAGTACATTAATTTTAGTTTGTTTACCACGTAGAATCAGTGTTTTACGTTAAGTTGTTAATAGAAGGGCGGGCAGCTGCCTCTGTCAATTGGAGAGAATGTTTGGCGGGAAGGAAAGGAAGTCTCTCAACATATTTGAGCAATACGACATTTTGCCAATAAGGCTAAAAATTTATGTTTCGTCACAAAGACGTTGACAAAATGTGTGATTTTTGCCTTGTTGGCAAAATGTCGTATTGGTCAAATATGTAAGAGTTAAGGGAAGGAAGAGAAGGAAGGGAAGGAAGAGAGAGAAGAAGACTGGCAATAAATACATATATAAAAATATTTGGCTCTATTACACAATATAAGTCCAATCAACTATTATGCGTCCAATCAACTTTTATACGTCCAATCAAAGTTTATACGTCCAATGAAAATTTATGCGTCCAATCAAATTTTTATACGTCCAATAAAAGTTTATGCGTCCAAATAAATTTTTATATGTCCAGTGAAAAAATAAATTCAGAAAAAATCAAAATAATTTTAATTATTATAACGCCTTGCTCAAAAGGGGTTAATAGAAACAACTGTTCCCGTCACATGAACAACCGTCCCCGTCACCGGATCAATCTCAAATCCGGTTTAAAATGGATTCGGATCCGGATTTGGCAATGGAGCCGGGCCGGATCCAGTCGGATTTTTCTGGATTAATCCGGTCGGGAAAAAATCCGGAGATCGCGAAAAAACCTCGATTTGGTATCCGGACTCTTGAAAAATCCGGCCGGATCACTAATAAAAATGTGTTTGGACATATAAAATTTGATTGGACGCATAAACTTTTCATTGGACGCATAAATTTTTATTGGACGCATAATCTTTTCATTGAACGTATAAACTTTTATTGGACGTATAAAAGTTGATTGGACGCATAATAGTTGATTGGACGTATATTGTGTAATAGAGCCAAATATTTTTTTAAAAATATTTAAAAATGATTGTGTACATAAAAATACTTTGTATGTACATCTGATGATTGATGATGATGGGGTAATAGTAAAAGACAAATGAAGAAGAAGAAAAAAATTTTTTGAAGAGGAAGAGAATTTTTATATATTAACACAAAAATGTTAAAGTAAAAGACGAGAATTTTGCCGGCAGCGATTTTTGATTGTAATAACAAGTAAATGATTAAATGAAGAATTTTACTAAATAATCATACATTTTTACAATTTATAAACAACATGGCGGAACATGAAAAATAAAATATTTTTTAGTAGATTAATTAACAACCCGGTGCTGTGTGATTTCGGCAGAAGTGACGTAGGCAGTGGTTAAATAGGCAGTGAGTGATTTGGGCAGTGAGGTGAATTGGGCAGTGAGTAATTTAGGCAGTAAACGTTTTTTAAAAAAATATTTTCCACGTAAAAACAGTTTGAGTATCATCAGATTATGAGTGATTTAGGCAGTAAATTATTGTTTTTAAAAAACTATGCTCACAAATTTAAAAGTATATCTTAAAGTGTAAATGATCAGCACAAGACCGGAGGCATAATATATTCAGGAAAAAATATATTTCAATACAAATCCGAGCCCTAGTTATAAACATATTCCTGAAGAATAAAATTTACTGCCTAAATCACGCATATTTATTTTTTCGTTGATACTCAAATTATTTTTATGTGAAAAATATTTTTTTAAAAATCGTTTACTGACCAAATCACTCACTGCCCAATTCACCTTTCAGCCTAAATCACTCACTGCCCATTTAACCACTGCCTACGTCACTTCTGCCGAAATCACCAGACACGAACAACCCTTGATACCGTAGGATTATTAAATTACCGTACTCTCCCTAATAGAATGCCTTCTCCATTTAAACGTCCCCTTCTGATAGAACGTGTCTGGTAAAAACGGCAGTGGTGAATTGGGCAGTGAGTAATTTGGGCAGTGAGTGATTTGGGCAGTAAACGTTTTTTAAAAAATAATTTTACACGCGAAAACAATTTGAGTAACGTTAGAAGAATAATTTTGAGCGATTTGGGCAGTAACTTAGAATTTTTAAATCATTTACACAAAAATTCAAAGAACCTCACCCCTTTTTCATTTTGATAACGTTGTAGGTGTTAGGGTGGCGGCTTAGTATAAAAGGCGAAGCCTTTTAGTAGTCGAGGAGTTAGTTAGTCAGTCTACAGTTAGCCCATAGTCTAGTCAAAGCCAACGCACAGTCTCGCCTATTTCTATTGTATTGTTGCTTGTGATAAACTTTGTTGTTAGTCAAGTCTTGTTTCTGTTAGTATCGGACACACCGCAAGACGATACATAACAGTGGCGCGGTCGCAGTTATTCGAACAATTCAAGTTAGTTTGCATTAGTCAGTAGTAAAATAATTAGTCAATTCAGATGGATCAGCAAATTCTTGAAAAATTCCTGCAGTCGCAAATTCAGATGCAAGCTCAGTCACAACAGATGCAACAATTGCAAGCTCAGATGCTGGAGATGATGAAAGGCAAAAAGTCAGAGGAACCAAAGTCGGAGGAGAAACAGTCAACAGACTTGTACTGTAAGTTGAAGACGCTAGTTACAGAGTTCCAGGCAGACATCGAAAAGGGGGTCACATTTGAGTCATGGTACCTCAAAAATAAGTCTTACTTCGAGGTAGACGCCAAGTCCTTAGAGGAAAAAGTCAAAGTCCGGTTGTTAGTAGATAAGTTAGGGCAAGTTGAGTATTCGAAGATGGCGCAAAAGTTATTGCCCAGAGAATTAGTTGAGATGGACTTTGGGGAATTAGTCGGAGAGTTGAAAAAGGAATTCTGTGATCCCCGTTCCAAATTAGTCAAACGTTTCGAAGTCATTAAAATGAAATGCCCTTGTATCGAAAAAATTCTTGAGTTTGGAACTCTAGTAAACGCAGAATGTGAAAAGGCGGAAATGGCGTTGACAGTCGAAGAAAGTAAAATTCTTGTGTTCATTGCAGGCATTCCAGAGGAAGCGTTAGATGTCCGGCAAATCAGTCTGAGATTCGTAGAGAAATATTCAAAGTCAGAAGTATGCACATTGAAGGCATTGATGGAGGAAGTCCGTAGCTATTTGGCAAATAAGTCTGATGCAAAGGTATTCGCGGATAACAAGTTAAAGGTCAGATTTGAACCTGAATATTCTGTGGAGGTGAATAATATTAGTAAAACTATTCAGGTCAATCAAAATGTGAAAAGTAGTAAAGACGAAAAGGACAAAAGGAATCAATTCAGTCAAGGAGAAGAACGTCAACATAGTCAAGTCAATGATCGACAATTTAGTCAGACAAGTCGTCCACAATATGGACAGAAGGAGTGCTATAATTGTGGGAAGAGGGGACACATTAGCCGATTCTGTAGATACCCTAGAGGTTGGTTAAATCGTAATAGTCGCCCAGAAGTTAATTATATGTCTATTGACCCTAATAATTCAGGTCCATATGTGTGTATTGCCGATATTGTCGATCCGACACAGATTCTGCTAAAAGAGAAATGGATTACACAGTCAGTCAAGTTAAACGACAAAAACGTTGAGATGATTGTCGATTCAGCGGCACAAATCAATTGTATTACCGAAGCGACCTGGAACGATTTGGGCAAGCCTGAGATTAGTCAAGTCAATTATTCTGGAGTCGGGTTAGGCAAATCGAACTTCAAGATAGAAGGCAAAGTCAAGGTCAAGGTTGAGTTATTTGGGAAAACCTCGGAAGAAGAAGTCCACATAGTCGAAGGAAACATTAATATCATGGGACTTCCGTGGTTAAACAAATTCGGGACAAAATCGCCAGTCTTGTCGCAATATTTTGCAAGAGGAAGTCAAAACAAAAGTCAAAAGTGGAAAGATTGGAGAAGCCCAAAGTCCAAGATACAAGAGACGCCGATTCGAAATAAAGAATTCAATAGTCAAGAATCGAAGAAACCATTCCATAGTCAAAAGAAGAAAGCTTGGCGAAGAACGAATAAATTCGAAAATGGAATGGAAGTCTTAGTCAAAAACACGAATCGTAGTGGTAAAACAATGTGGTTAGCAGGGAAGTTGATGAACAAAGTCGGGCAAATTTGGAAAGTCCAAGTGCCATCATTGCGTAGCATAGTCAGCCGTGAGGAGTGGTTTATTCGAAAGAAAAAGTGGTTCGATGATGCAACAATGAAAAGTCAATCAAAAGAGGATCAAAGGTCGAGCTCGGTTGAAAGTCTGGGGGCAGAAGACAAAGAGAAACTTTCAGCGATCTTTAAGAAGAACATCCGGATCCTCCAGAAAGAAGACGAATTGCAGGACGTGGACATCGAACTTGTGAGCGAAGAAAACATGAAGCAAAAAGATGAGCCAATGCACGCGAGCACTGGAACGGAAGATGATCGGAAATAGAGGGAATGTAAATAAGAAGTAAATAATTGTGATAATATTGTTTTTGTAAATTTTTGTTTGTAATTATTGTATATCCCCTTTTTGTTTGCTCACATTGTATTTTGGCCCTTTGTATGTATTTTCAATGTTTTGTTTGCGTTGGCTAGTAGTTTTTTTGAAGTCCACCAAGTCTAGTCGGAAGCGTAGTCCCGACTTAATTAAAGAAGGGAGGTGTTAGGGTGGCGGCTTAGTATAAAAGGCGAAGCCTTTTAGTAGTCGAGGAGTTAGTTAGTCAGTCTACAGTTAGCCCATAGTCTAGTCAAAGCCAACGCACAGTCTCGCCTATTTCTATTGTATTGTTGCTTGTGATAAACTTTGTTGTTAGTCAAGTCTTGTTTCTGTTAGTATCGGACACACCGCAAGACGATACATAACAGTAGGTACAACATTAACCTTTGTTGAAATCGTCTTGCTCTCAATTTTGACGTTACCCTAAGTGATAAGTAGATTTAAGGTATGAAAAATTGAGAAATAATTCCTATTTTAAGTTTTTAGGTGTCAAGATAGGTCCAAAATATCTGAAAAAGGTCAAAATAGTTTTGGAGAAATATGTTCAAATTTTGGATTTACTTAAGTTAAATAAAAATTTCCGGAATTTTTGTTATCAATTTTAAATAATTTAATTTTTAAATAATTTTAAAAGTTACTGCCCAAATCACTCAAAATTATTCTTCTAACGTTACTCAAATTGTTTTCGCGTGTAAAATTATTTTTTAAAAAACGTTTACTGCCCAAATCACTCACTGCCCAAATTACTCACTGCCCAATTCACCACTGCCCAAATCACACGGCACCTGATAGAATGCCCATATGTACAGTAGAGATCGAGATTTTTGAAAAGCGTGGACCCGTTCGTGGACTCTGAAGTTTGATTTCTTGACCTGGACTGGATCCTGGGCTTGGAGTCCAGGAAAACCCCAGGCTCAGGAAAATCCCAGGAAGGTCAAAAAATGCCTGGACGTGACTCTGGGTACAGGAAAAACCCCAGGCCTTAGTCCAGGTCCAGCTCGATCTCTAATGTACATTGATGGAAAACAAAACGCCCGGGCATTCTATTATGACATTACGATAATTAGTAACCAATAGGAAGATTTCCCGACATTTGCGCACCGACATTTGCGTACCGACATTTGCGAACGAAACCAAGGCCTATTGAAATTGGAACAAGCTTCGAGTGGATCCTTTTACTACAATTTGCTCCCTCCATTTAAAAGCCCCCTTCTAATAGAAAATTTTAAACCCCCCACTTTGAACAGTGATTGAAAAATAAAATGCCAGGGCATTTAATCAAGGATAGCATGGAAATTAAAGAATAATAAGAAGGTTGCCCGACATTTGCGTACCGAGATTTGCGGACAAAACCAAAGCCTATTGAAATTTGAACAAGCTGCTAGTGGTTCCTTACTGTAATTTTATACAAAAATTTTTTGAGATTGTAGACTCGTGACTATATCTATAAGAAAGATAGAAATATAGGCTATAAGATAGAAAGCTAGGTGGATGTTCTCAAATGTCGTGTTCGCAATTGTCTTTTAAACAATAAAATGGTCCTAGTAAATTTCTAAATTTTCTAATAATCTTGCTAAGCTTATTAAATATTCTTTAAATAAATTTATTTAAAAGGTGTGTTCTAATCAGCAAAATTACTCTAATCAGCAATAATCAAAAAAGCAAATTTTTATGTGTGAAGAAAGTTAATGCGCTTTAAACAAAAAATTTGTGTATTTCCCAAAAATTAAATCAAAATCCTTTTTTATTTTAATGATAAAATAAGGAGAGAGAATGAGTAGAGAGTTGTAGAAGACCGGGGAGAAGTGAAACGTTTCGAAAGATCTTTTGGAGTTTCCTGCAGGTCTGACAGTGACCGATGTAGCATAGTAAAACTCTCGGTTTCGTATTTCGTGTTTCGTGTTTTTCGTTTATTTTTCGGTTCGCGATAAATTCTAGTGATGTTCGGGACTCTCGATCTCGGTTCCCGAGTCGGGGAATTTCACGGGTTTTTTGAGCTCTCAATCTCGACTCTCGGTTTGGTCTCGGTCTTGGGGTTGATTCGCGGTCTCGGTCTTGATTCTCGGCCTTTTTAGCTCACGAACATCACTAGTAAATAAAAAATGACTTTTAGAGGGAGCTTAAGGTATGATAAAAGATAGGGCCAACTTTTCAAAAAAAAATCAGCATTATCTGCATCCAACATAAAAAATTTTGGGGAGAGGTGCTTTAAGCGCTAGGGGTGATCTAAGAGTCTTTTTCATAATTTGAAAAAATTATAAAAAAATTCTTATAATTTCTTAAATAAATTTTTTTCTATATTAAATACCCCAAAGTACATTTTTATCAATAATCATTTTTCTGTAAATTGTTTTGATAAAATGATAAAGGAATGATAAATTTAAAAAATCAAATCAACTTATTTAGAGAATAATAGTTGACGTATGTAAAAGTATTTTTTAATATTTCTAAAAAAATTCTTAGAAAAATTCAAAAAAATTTTTTTTGAGAATAAAAGGGCACAGAATTAAGAAAAATATTTTTAAAACAAAAAATCAAAAATTTAATTTTGTATTTTAAAGTAAATTTAAATTGACAACTTTGTTATTGGTCAAATCAAAAATTAAATTTAAAAAATATTGCTGGGGTTTGTAGTATGTTTTAATACAAAAATAAATTGGCATACTAAAATATTAGTAAGAAATATTTTTGGAAAAAAATAAAAAATAAATATTATGCAAAAATTGGAAATTTAAAAAAAAGCAAAAAGAGCTCATTTGGTCACAAGAACCCATTTTGGTTGTAGACCCATAACTTTTGAATGAATCAACGGATTGGGATGAGAGTGATACCATACGATAGCGCAGAAAATTTGCTACAAGATAGGCAAAATAGAAAATTTTAAAAAAATTTTAACAGGGGATAGCGACTGTTAGAAGTCTGCGACTAGGCAGCCTTGGGAGAGAACGGGTGTGTCTTAAAAAATTTCCATAACTTTTAAATAAATTGTCGGATTTGGATGAGGGTGGTATTATTCGATAGCGCAGAAAATTTGCTATAAAATAGGCTGAATGGAAAAATTTTCAATAGGGGATATCGACTGTTATAAGTCTGCGACTAGGCAGCCTCGAAGTAGTGGGCGAGACTTATAAAAATTTCTAAAAAATCTAAAGGAGAAAATTTTTTGATAGTAAAAACATATTTTTAAAATAAAAAAGGATGTAAAAAAGCATCTTATGAGGAAAAAAGTTTTTTAGAATAATAAATATGTATGACAAATGTCCGTACAGAATAATAATTTTACGAGTTAAATTTAAATAAATACATATTTTTTTAGATAAAAATATTTTCAGAATAAAAAATTTTTGTTTTTACAATAAAATAATAATTCTGAAAATAAGAGGGATCAGAAAAAATTGGATTGGAAAAAATTTAAAATAATAATTAAGCAACAAAATCCTACTATGAGACCCAACTCATCTCCTTAGCCATAGCTTTCCTTACTAGAGACAAATCGTGTCAAGTATGGTACCGACAGATGCAGCTAGTCAATCTGAGTCGGATTATACCCAAATTGACCAGATTTTTATTTCGTAGAGTTAGTTATTAGCTTTGAGGTATGCTTGGTCAGTGTCCGCAAATGTCGTCCGGGAAGAAGCTGTAAAAAAGGGAAGAAGCTGTTTTCGTTGTAGGGGAAAAAGCCGTGCATTGAATAATTTTTGGGGGTTTTCGGAAAGAAAAGAATGTTCGTACAAAAATTCTTTAATAAAAAAATAAAACAAAAATATCATCGTGCAATTAACACTTTTACATAAATAAATATTTACAACAACAAAGAATAAAAAATTAAAATAAGAAAGATCAACGACATTTGCGGACATTTGGACATTTGCGGACATTTTGGGAAATTTGCGGACATTTTTGGAAATTGCGGACATTTTTGGATATTTTAAGACATCTGCGGACAAAACTGATGGCCATTGAAAAATTCTTGATTTATCGGTAATTGGGCCATGTTAAGTACTGGCTTAAGCATGTATTTACTGATTTTGTTAGCTTGAGCATATACCGTATTTATTCTAATAGAATGGCCTCTCCAATAGAATGGCCCCTCCAATAGAATGGCCCCTCCAATAGAATGGCCCTTTTTGGGGGTAATGAAAAATAGAACGGCTCAATTAGAATTAGAATGGCCTCAATTAGAATTAAAATTAAACCTCAATTAGAATTGCCGCTCCAATTGAATGGCCCCTATTTGGTGGTATCGAAAAATAGAGTGGCGGCCATTCTATTAGAATAAATACGGTAAATCATTTCATAAAGCTTATATTAGTTGGTGTCCGCAAATGTTTGTCCGCAATTTAATTTTGTCTTAAGAGAGGACCTAAAATTTTTTTAATTTTAAAACAAGACCTGAAAATTGGCTGAAAATGAATTAAATATTTGTTTGAATTAAATATTTGCTTGTAATAAAATGAAAAAGGATGTAAGGGATTGAATGAGAGAGAGGATGATTTTACAGTAATAAAGTCTAGCTAGTTGGAGAGGAACAAACAAGCTCTATAAAATAAAAATGAGAGATAAAATAAAATAAAACTTAAAGCATCAAACAACAAAAATATGATTCTAAAATTTTTTAGAATATTCTAAGGGGTCTGAAAAATCGAAAAAAAATATCCAAAGGTGGTGTCCGCAATGTTTGTCCGCAAATGTTTGTCCGCAAAATTTAATTTTATCCGCAAATTTAATTTTTGTCTTAAGGGATTTTAAGGGGGTAGGAAATGAAAGGACCGTGGTCTTTTGGAAAAGAAAGGATTTTCCAAGAGTAAATTTTGACTAAATACGACAGGAGTTGATCCTGTAAGGAAGGGAAAGATCCAGCTGGCTAGCATTTAAAACGCTCACTAGGCGGGGGGTTTAAGATCTATTAAAAGGAGGTGAGAGCTCAGTTGGTAGAGCACCTGTACGGGATGAGCGAAAGAGCCTAGCAATAAATGCCAGGAGGTCGAAGGATCGAAGCTTGCCCGGGATTAAACTTTTACCTCGTTCTTGCTATCCTTAGATCATAAGAAAACCGATGGAATCAGGCCCGAAGGCAACCCCTTTCAATTAAGTTCGTCTCTAAATCCTGAAACAGACTCCGGATTTTCATTAATACCAAGACTAGATCCGTCGGGATTCGATCCGGAAATCATTCAAAAACTGCCAAAATCTGGTCATAAGCCAACACCATTAAAATCTAAATTAAATTCGTCTCTAAAATTAATAATGTTTTTGGGTAAAAGAAAAGAAGATTAATGACTCTAGTTAGCAGCGTGTGGTAGCGACTATATCTAAAATATTTAATGTATCTCCATTACAAAAAAATTTTTTTTCTATTTCGCCCACCCAGACAAACATTATTTATAAAATACCTCCAAAACTAAACAGCAGAAACAACACAAAAATTTTCTCTGTCTCTCTTATTTTTCTATTGTCTCTCTCTCATCTCTAACCCCTCTCTCTCCCTTCTTCCCCCTTATTGTCGCTACCAATCAAATCATCATTTATTTAATTCAACTGACTTTTTCATGGATACCGCCAAAAAAAATTTTTTTTCATGTCAACTAAATAACAACATTACTACTACCAACCCAAATATTCATCTCCTAAAAATCTCTCTCCATTGTTGTCGTAAATGGATAAATTTATGCACTTCTTTTCTTCTTCTTTATCCTCTTACCTAAAAATCCAACTGCGGTGGGGTGTCAATTTTTAATTGTATTATATAAATAATACTTGTAATTTTTAGTAAAAATGTGTGTAAATGTGGTGAAAATTATTAAAAGAAGGAAAATAGAAAAATAAATAATTTGCGGACAAAAAATAATCCGCAAATAAATTTGCGGACAAACTCTTGCGGACATACTGGATTCGGAAATGTTAGTCAAGCTATGTTAGATTAGAAAGCTAGTGGTCATAAGATTTCGGAGTCTTGGGAGTCTTTTAGATACCCGATCGTCTTCTCAAGGATAGCAGACAGTCCGCAAAAAATTTGCGGACAAACTCTTGCGGACATACAGAATCCGGAAATGATAGTCCAGCTGTATTAGGCTTGAAGGCTATGACCAAAGAATTTCGAAAGCCTTGGATAATAGCTTTAACCTTTAGATTATGGATAGCAGACAGTCCGCAAAATAATTGCGGACATAAATTAAAATTTGCGGATTTTTGGTTTGTAAGGGATCTCGATGTGGTATAGATTTTATAAAAAATTTTAAAAAGTATAATAGACATGTAAAATAAAATAAAAAATGTATTTACAATTTAAAAGGAAGTAAAAAAATTTTTTTTCAATGTTTTAGCGTCAGGTGAAAAAAATGTATTTTAAATATTTAATTTTTAATAATTAAGAGTTATTAAATATGTGGTTTTTTTAGTTGTTAAAATAAAGGTTAAATTATGCGAGAATAAAGTATGTATATATAAAATTTTAATTGATAAATTTAAAATAAATTTTTTAGTTCTATGAGTGCTAATTGAGGATGAAATTTTAAATTAATAATTTGAACTAGAGTAGCAACCCGAGCCTTCGGGGTCGGAAGTGTCGGGAATCGGGGTTTGCCTGGGAAGCCATGTCGGGGTTCGGGGACGTGGTTGACTTTTGGGTCGGGGTCGGGGTTTTGACAAAAAACCCGTCGGGTCGGGGGACGGGGTACTGCCCTTAATTGAACTGAAGGGAGTGTCATTTTTGCGGGCAATTTTTGCGGATATTTTTGCGGATAATTTTAGTGAAACTTTTTGCAGACATTTTTTTGCGGACAGTCTTATAGAAATTTTTAGTGGACTCCTTTTCGGACATTTTATGCGGAAATTTTCTGCATACATATTTGCGGACAATTTTTTGCAGATATTTTTGCGGATTTTTTATTTTAAAAATCAGCCATAAACATAGTCTCCATTGATATACTAACCTCTTAAAAATATTTTAAACACAATAACAACATTACTAACAGAAAAAGCTAAAAAATTGGCCTAGATCCAACCTTAAATGTAAAATCGTTTTTTAAAGTGGGGGAGGACAAGCAATAAATTTTAGAAAAAATTTTGGGTCAAAGAAGTGTGATAAATTGAAGTTTAAAATAAAAGCAAGTTTAACCTTTTTTCTAATTTATATTGGGCCAAGAATTAAAGAAAAGGTAAATTAATGAGTCGAGAATTGGAAGGAGGGGAGAATTGAGGGGAGAAATTGAGGGGAGAAACAATAAATTTTAGCCTTAACCACAAAAAAAGAACAATTGACCTCAAATAAATTTAAAAATAGGATTAGTAGTAGTTGCCATATAAATATTAAAAAGTAAAGGAAAAAGGTGGAATTAGGCATTAAAATGTTTAAATTAATTCAAAAAATTAATTAAATAATAAATAATTTATACAAAGTAAGTGAGTGATAAAATAATTGCGGACAGATAATATTTGCGGACAAATATTTGCGACATACTTTTTTTAGGAACCTACATATTTTAAGACCGTATGGCAAGTGAGTGGGTAGGCAGAGCTAAAAACTCGGTTGGCCAAGTTCCAGAAAAGGAACGAGGGGTTGCCTAGCTAAAATCAAAAACCCCGGACTCGTCTCAACTCGAAACACAAAACACGAAACTAAGAAAAATTTGGAGACCCGACCCGAATCCGTCACAATATTTTTCTCGACCTATCAGGTATGGGAAGGGTTGAGAAAACCTGCTGGACTTGATGGGATAGACTGCTCACCATAAACTTCTGTCCCTTCAGAAAGTATCCGAATAGCAACAAATTACTGGGGATCCTATTGGCTGTCTTTTAATCTGTTAGTAACTATTTTAAAAAATTAATCGGGCATAGAGGGAATATTAAAAAATGAAATTTAATTCCCCATTAAATGTTAATTTAATATTCTTGTCAAAAAATTATTTGTCTTTTTAAAAAGAATTAAATATCACCGACCTATGGCCACGAATAAAAAAGAGCGTTTTAGCTTCCCCTTTAAATCCTCTTTAGCAAAGTAAATCTTTAAACACTGTCATCAATCTAACACATTTTTTTGTGATTTTCAACACCACAGCGGGTGTGTGGCGATGAAGGAAACGAACATAGAAATGTGGGGATATATTACATACTAACATATACAACATCTGTCCAATCACAAAAAAGGATGTGGGGAAATTTGGGGAGAAATGTAAAGGGAAGGATGGTGTGAAGGGATGTTATAATGGATGTTTATATGGATAAAATCCTAAATATCGACAAATAATAGAGGATTGGAGATTCTAAAAGGTCTGAGGAAAGAAAAGTGATAAGCTAGGGACCGAACTTAGCTGACATGAGGAGGTGATATGTGTGAAGTGTCAGATCTGGCTAAAAAACACCTTGAGACTAAAATGCCGATGTATTAGGGAAGGATACGGAAAAGTGATAGGCCCAATTTTTGGGTATTTTGGCAATTTTTGATTTGATATATGGATAGGTCGAGGGAATTTTAAGTGAGGGTTATCTAGCTTTACGAAATAATCAACCTTAAACCAGCTAGTGTAGGAAACTATAAATTAATATTCAAGCAAGGTATTAGTCGTGATTTAGACCAGTGATGACTTAGATCAGGATCCTGTCTTCGGATTGGGCCGTAAAAGGGAAATCCCATACCAGTTCTAGACTAACCTTCACCGCAGACTTAGTCTATCATCGGATTGGGTCGAAAAAGGGAACCTTCCGATTGGATTAATAGATCCGCCTATTCTATCTCCATTAATGTGTTTACTTTTGTGATAGATTGTTATTAATAATCTTGGTTCTTTTAAGACACTCACCTTTAGGACATGGCAAAAACTAAGTTAATTACGGTGGAAGTTGGAGAAGTTGAAGGCACCAATCGGTGAGGGATGTCTTTGAGTATTAAAAAATATAAAAAATGAATTAATCCATCAAATTATTTTTTCTCTATTAAAAACAAGGCGCGTTGCAAAGTACAGAAAAAAGACATCTGTTAAATTGTTGATGATCAATTTTCGCCTTAGGGCAAATGAAGAAAAGGTGTAAAGTGTTACTATCGGTCAAAATGAAAATTGAGAGATATTTAATGGAATTGATGTTATAAACGTTAAAAGAAGTAAAAAAAGAGTTTGAAAAAGGTCAAATTACAGAAGGAAGGTTTGACAAATTTTTAGGATTTGAGGGAAATTTTTTCGAGAAAGAAAAAAGGCAACAAAATGAGGTACGAAAATAATTTATTAAAAATACGTAAAAATACAGACTTTCAATAAGCTTATTTAGAGGCACAAAGCTAGGATGAGGAAGAATCCTCATACAGACAGGCCCATTAGGAAGAGAGCTCCCTGTTGGGGCTATAGAAAGGTCCATTAGGAAGAGAGCTCCCTGTTGGGGCTATAGAAAGGTCCATTAGGAAGAGAGCTCCCTGTTGGGGCTATAGAAAGGTCCATTAGGAAGAGAGCTCCCTGTTGGGGCTATAGAAAGGTCCATTAGGAAGAGAGCTCCCTGTTGGGGCTATAGAAAGGTCCATTAGTAAGAGAGCTCCTTGTTAGTGCTATGGAGAAGTTCGTTATAAAGGGAGATTAATAAAGTACCATCCCGACTAAAACGGCGATAAGACTTGTAGCATGGATAGGCCAGGGGACAAAGAGATAGACCAGGGGGTATTTCATATCCGCTATTTCCCATCAAAATTATTGAAACAGCCTTTTCTGGCATTGGTAAACCATCGCCATTTATGGGTGATGGCAAATGGTGGATATTGTAATAGGCCCCAGAGGTTGAAAAAGAATCGGATCGGCTTCCAGGTATCATGTAACTCGACTCTCCTTGTTTCATAACTTAGACAAAACAAGAATTATCCAAATAAGGACTCTCATACTTTTTAGATAGGTAATTAATTTTGATATAATTTTTAAAAATTATTTTTCATATCAAAAATTTATTTCACAAATTTTTTCGAGTTATTAAAAAAAATAAAAGTGTAAAAGTAAACTTTTATGTTTATGTGTGTGGCTGACACCTTTACCAAACACAACAATAATATAAAATAACATTTGCACTTTTTGTAAAAAAAATGATGGAAAGAGGTGTCATATGAAAGAGTAATTATTATTAAAAGTATGTTGAACAGTTGGTAAGCTAATAATAATTTTTTTGAGATTTATTATTAAAACAGTTGGCGCGCATAAGAAAAATTATTTTATTATTAAAAGATTAACTTTAAATATAAATACAATTATTGTAATAGATTGAAGAGATAATGAGTATAACAGCTGACATTGCCTGAGGGAAATAATGACACTTATATGAGTTGACCAAATTTAGCCAAGTTTAGGGGAGGGCACTGGCATAAAGATTAATTTAAAGAAGGAGAACAGACGAGGGTTGGGGTAGGATTGAAGTTAGATGGGATTGGGGCTTGATCTAAGAGAAAACAGCCTACTAACCGAGGGTTGGACCAACCGGTTTCGAAAAAGTTCGTGTTGGGGTTAAACGGGATCAGGGTCTAACCTTATTTGTTAGAACCAAAGCCATACTAATAAAGGGTTGGACCCCTAAAGGTCGGAAAGTTCGGGTTGGGGTTAGACGAATAGGGGGCTTGATCTAAGATCAGACAGCCTACTAACAGACTCGGGTTCGACCCTTAAAGTTCAAAAAGGTTCGAGTTGGGGGTTGGACGGGTCGGTGTCCAGCCCTGGAAGAAACAGCCCAACACAGATTAGAATATATAACACCAACCAAGGATCTAGTCTGGTAAAGATACTGTACCTTTCGTAGAACGATTGGAATTTTGAAAAAGAGAACAAATGAGGGTTGGAGCCTTCGAGTTCGAGAAGTTCGGGTCGGGGTTAGATGTGGCTGGGATCCAATCCTAGAACCCTAAACAATCGACTAATAGTAATATACCACACAAGGATCTAGTTAAGGAACCGATATGGTGCCCTTAAGGGAACTTGATTGAAAAGGTGGCTCTTGTCGAGTTTATGCGTCCCATGAAAGTATATGCGTCCCATCAACAAAAAATTGAATATTTCTTGGTGTTGCAAAGTAGGGGTATGGTTCCAAAGCATTTCTTCATGTTCGGGATCTACGTCCAGTGGGTCTGGGACCGTTCCTTACCCTATACCTCGAAATTTCTGAAAGTTAAAATCGTTTTTCTGAAATTTTTAAAAATTGGCTATAACTTTCAGAAATTTCGACGGATAGGGTAAGGAACGGTCCCAGACCCAGTGGACGTAGATCCCGAACATGAAGAAATGCTTTGGAACCATACCCCTACTTTGCAACACCAAGAAATATCCAATTTTTTGTTGATGGGACGCATATACTTTCATGGGACGCATAAACTGGACAAGAGCCGAAAAGGTGTTATATGCTAGTTCGAGAAGTTCGGGTCGTGATAATCTAAAAATCTACTAGAGGGATTATTAAATCCAATATTTTTTCAATAAAAATTTTTATTTGAAATTAAGGAAAATTTTTTAAATTAAAATAAAATTTTGTAATAAAATAATAAAATGAGAAATTGAGGAATTGAAGAATTAAAAATTTTGGCTTGTTGAGGAAAATAAAATTTATGTTTAAAAAAGTAAGTGAGTATCAGTCACTACCTCTACGCGCGAAAAAATTCATAGGGCTGACATAACTTTAATAATAATAAATTAATTATCTAAATCCTTAGGTACTTCTTTATCTACCTTAAAAATATTAATTTTAATGAAAAAACTTTTTGGAGTGAAGGGGGAAGGGGACTGTAAAACAACTGGACACGTCTTCCTCCACTATTAAAAATATTTATTTTGGATTTTAACAAGACGAGAAAAAGTGGAATAATCTCAAAATCTCTCTTCCCCCACCTTCCTCCTCCCCCCCCCCTTTCCTCTCCCTCCTTCCCCCCCCCCTTCCACCTTCCCTTCCTGACAGCCCCTTCCAAATAATTTTTTCTTCATTTCCTTATTAAATTCCCTCCCTTCCTCCTCAATATTTATTTATTACTCCCTACCAGCCTTTTCAATCATTTTCATCACTTGCCCAAAAATTTTGGTCAATTTGCCCTTGAGACGTTAAAAAGAAGAAAAAAAAGATTATTTTAAGCGCCAATCAAAATTATTTTTATTTCCTCCTTTTTTTTAATAATTTTCTGCTGCCAGTCAATTTTGCTTATCTGATTTGGAAAGAAGGGAGGTGTCATTGCATAAACAAAAAAAACTTTTGCCCCTTAAATAAATTTTTATTAAATCCCCCACTCATCAAGACTGACAAAAAAAGATTTTAATTTGAGAAGGGGAAACGAGATAAAAATATGTTAAATATTATTAAGTGTTATTTTATGAATAAGAAATCAGAATTGTAAAATAAATTTCTGAAAAAAAATGTTTAGATAGGAAAAATGGAATCAATCGCCAATTCACTCCAGCACCCATTTCTTCTTTGATCTCCTACTCCAACCACCTATCAAGTTGGATATCGGAAAGGGATTGATATACCGCATTTAATATGCGATTTTTCATCTTGGACATTGGAAAGGGATTGGCCCAAGTGGGTGATATGTTAGTGATCGGACTGTGTACCGTACCACGGCTTTATTTTTCGGTATTTATCGGTATTCCGAATCGGTAGTACGTTATGGAATACTGACCGATACGAAATTCCAATCACTAGTTCTTATATTAGTATAGTTGGTATATGTTGGTATATATTGGTATATTCAGTTGGTATTCAGTTAAAGGAATTTCTTTTTTCTACTATCCAAGTTTTTAAATTTTTAAATTGCTTAAACAATAAAATTTAATATACTACAACAGTTTCCTTAAAATCCAACTTAACCTAAAAATTAAAAAATAATTTTTCTTTAAATTTTCCCCTTTCCAAACTTCTCCCTCATTTCTTAAATTTAATGCGCGCGCATGTTGAATTGCGTTTTGGCATTTTTATAGGCTAAAGGATGGCAAATTAATTGTTTTTTTAATAAAATCCATGGGAGCAGCAATATTTGCGAGAGATTCTAATCGTGCGATTGAGGCCGGGAGGGTCGTAAATAAATTTTTGTAAAGGGGGAAGAGAGTATTAACGACTAAGAAATGATGAGAAGAAAATAAAAAAATATAAAAAAAATAATTTGGGGGGGGGGGGGGGGGGGGGGGGGGAAGGTAATGAAATTTTTTGTGTGTAATTAATGTTTAGGTATGTTGACCAATTGGTTTTGGTGATTTATAGTTATTTTTAAGTATTAAATAGATTGATAGAATTGATAAAAAAATGTTTTGGCATTGTTGCTATTTTATTTAAAAATATTAAAATTAATTTAATTAATTTTAAAATTTTTTTAATTGTGAAAGGTAATAAATTTTTGTAAAAGGGTTGTAAAAGGGTCAAAAATTAAATTTCGTTTTATTATTAATTTTTAATCAAATTTTGAAAGAGAATGAATAGAATAAAATAGAATAAAATAGAAAATAGAATAAATAGAATAATGTTTTGAATTGTTAGTCCCTGATAGAGGCCCCAAAAAATTTTGTCCGCAAATTTCGTCCGCAAAATCTGCCCGCAAATTTTTTAATTTTATAATAGAACGATTTAGAGATTGATCTGGGTCTGTACCAAGGCCTGGGTTTTTCCTATACACAGAGTCCAAGCCCAGGCATTTTTTACCTTCCTGGGGTTTTCCTGGGCCTGGGTTTTTCCTGGACTATAGGCCCAGGATCCGGCCGAGGTCAATAAATCAAACCCGGAACCCAGGAACAGGCCCAGGCTTTTCAAAAATTTCTATCTCTAGAAGAATTATGTTTTAGATATATTTTTTATTTTTATATTTTAAGTGGAATTTATAAAGGATTGAGTATACTAAGGTTTAGGATTTAATTCCAGCTTGATACTTGCGGACAAAACTTGCGGACAAAACTTGCGGACATTTGGAAGCATTAAAAATTTAAAAATAATTCTTACTTAAAATATACCTAAATTTATTGTAAAAAATAGTAATACAAAAAATAACATCGAGTTCTTATTCGTCAAAAATATTTATTTATTCCCTCCCTTTAACATTTTTTGTTTCTTGTCCCTCATGTTATGTTGCTTGTTTAACTAAAATAAAAATTACGGTAATCCCCCTCCCATTATTTTTTTCTTGGCCTAGAAACGAGGAATTAAAGGGTATAATAGCACAAATAATATATGTCAAGATATTTTTTGAAAATAAAAAATAATTCTATTTTTAGTAAAATATACTCTAAACATCTTGCTACAGATGGGGGAAAATAAAATTTGAAAATAAATTTGGGGGGATTTTCAATTAATTTTTCGTAGTATAAAACGAGCAAAGGGCTATTAACTTGGTTAGATTGTCTCGAAAAATAATTATGGACGGGAAATAATTAAAATAAAAAAGTTCAATATTAAGGATAAATTAAAGATTAAAACACAAAATATAAAAATGAAAGAAATTAAATTTGCGGACAAATATGAAGCTTAATGAACTTGCTATTTTTGGTGGTATGTGGCACAAAAAACTTTATATTATTAAAATAGAAAATTTAGTGGGCGTCCACCCCCTTCCCCTCGTCTATCGATATCGAGTAAACACGCCATATGTCAGGTATTGTTTTGACAAATGTCGGTCAACAAATGTTAGGTATTTGTCCGCAAATGCCAAAAATCGGTGCGCAAATATGTTAAGTATCAGTCGCAAGATTCTGTTCGCAACAGAGGTGGGTCGGAATTCCGATTTCCGACGTTTTTTTCATTTTGATTTCCGAAAAATTTTGATTTCCGATTTCCAAGTTCCGACTCTTGAGCCAGTTCCAATTTCCGACACCTCTGACTGTTCTGACCCACCTCT